GTTAATAATCGGTAAAAATATATTACCATTTAATATCCTGTATAATGATATAATGCATATAGAATACAAATAAAATCATATGAACGTATTTTATACAATAAGATTTACCAACACAAAAATACTAACTATATATATATATATATATATATATATATATATATATATATATATATTAATAAATTGTACCTTAAATCATGTATAAGTTCCACAGGTATACCATCTTTAGGAAATTTAATATCTTCTGTCATTATTGTAAATGTTACTTTGCTTTTAATATGTGTTACTGGATGAACATATTTTTCTTTTTTTCTTGCACTTACGTCTTGTTCTCCTAATAAATTAAAAACTTTAGCTTCAGGTACTGAATATTGTGTTAATTCTATAACAGTATTTGCCATAAATATATCCTATAAAAAAGAAAGTATATTTATACATAGTATAATATATTTGATAATAAAATCTTTGCACCTTTATACCTTTTGCAATTCTTTAAAGGATTTAAATTGTTTTTGGAAAGTAGGCACCAATATCACATGTAGAAATAGTGTTCCATTTTGTTGCGTTTTATGGGGAAGATCTATGGAAAGAGAACTATGGAAAAAGAACGATTATTTATTAAGCTGAACGTTAATTTAACTGTTAAATGATAGTTATACTACTGTAATATAATTTTTAAACTTAAAGTATAGAAATACGTTTCCAGTGCAATCTTTTAAATTTGATTAAAATTATAAAAAAAAAATCTAATTACAAATAAATACCATATAATAAACATGTATGATGAAGCTCACATGTTTTGTGCTTGAGTATAATCAAACTTTTGCTGCATATATAAAGAATTAACTTCTCTCTCTGGTGGTCGCTTCAGTACGGAACTATATATATATAACTGTAATTGTGGATTTTTGTATAGATAAGAAGTCAGACATGGCTTTCCATTTTCGCATAAAGGAACAACAAATAATAAAGATAATGTATATATCGAATAAATAATATATGCCAAAAACACTTTAGAAAGTATAAGACTTAAAGACGGCCACTGCATTTTAATATGTACATACATACATTAAAATGTAAACAACATTGATTTTTTTCTAGGCCTTTATCATACACAATTATACCCGTTTAAATGATATTTCTTAAAAAATTCGTTATAGCATAAAGTAAATTATGATGTTCCTTCCACGTACAAATACGTGAAATTATCACAAATGATGATGACACGTGTCACTTAAAGCGGAATCTTTGATATTCTAATATATTTTTCTACAGACTGAAACAAATTCTCGCTCATATTGGAAAACAAAGGTTTGAATTACGTTTCCATTGCTCATTGGTGCGCTGATATCGTTACCGATATTTGAATTGGACTAAAAAGACAGAGAGAGAGAGAGAGAGAGAGAGAGAGTCTGGAGGCGCTTTAGCTCGTGACAGAAGTAAAAATATGGCCGTTATTTTTATACGATAATTCCATTCGTACCAAATTCAAAAAATATACATTTCACATAGATTAAAGATTTTAAGATAAATAAATGTATATATTAATTCTTCCTATAGCATACATCTTTTCATTATTAAACTATATAAAATATGTGCTATATGAATCACTCGTGACGTCGTTTATCGTAAAATATAAAACTTCAAAGTAGAACTAAATTAAAAAGTAACAAAGATAGTATAATGATTCTATTGTAAATGTATTTAAATTGGAATAATGAGCGAATAATTTAATTAATGTCACAAGAAGATGCACAGGACAGAATTTGAAAATAATCTGCAAAATATCTAAGAAGACAGAAATTATTCTACTTTTAATGTCATCGAGAGAGTTTCGATTTTTTCTATAAATGGCAGATTTAAAAAAGGAACGCTACTATCAATGTCAATAAGTTCATGCTTTATATCCTTATATTTCTTTCATAAAAATATGAATTTGCATAAACATATACTTTGCTTATTGTATATATCCGATATAAATTTCTTTTATAGCATTTTTTTTTATAAAATTTGCTCCAAAATTTCATATACAATACATATCATTCTTGCAAATTGAAAATGTAATTAATTAAAATCGAAAGAAAACTTTTTTGCAATATTGTAACAATAATTTTGAGAAATCTCATATAATCTGCTCAGAATGTACAAAGAAGAAATTAATTCTGCATCAATGCAAATACATATCATACATTTTTATGGTAAATACTTTAACGATTACCTTTTCTTTTGTAAAAAGAAATATAGAAAGATATATTTTACATAATACTTGTGAATGATTTTTTATAAATTATCAGAAGTAAAAAAGAAAACTTGAAACACTATCATGAACTGTACTGATTTTATTATCAATACAGACAATTTTTAATATATTTTAATAATTCGATACACGTATTTATATAATGCCAATCTTGTTAGCAACATCAAGAGCGTCATAATCACGAGTTAATCGCACGTACGCTTTCTTCTTTCCATCTGGCCTTATAAGTGTATTTACTTTGGCCACATCAACGTCATAAAGCTTTTTAATAGAAGCTTTAATATGGTATTTATTCGCTCGTGTATGGACAATAAAAACTAATGTATTATTATCTTCAATCTTTTTCATGGCTGCTTCGGTAGTCAAAGGGAATTTGATGATATTGAAAGCATCCATACTAAAAAAGAGAGAGTAAATATATCATTATGTTATCAAACGTTATTATATATACAGATAGGAAAAATTTTCAAGTACTCACCGACTTCTATTTGGCACCGATTTTCGTGCATATTTCGGATTTCTTGGAGGTCTGAATGTTTTTGGGCGATGGAAATGTACAGAAGTCCTAATCTTTCTTACCCTAGATCCATGTACACCTTTCAAGATCTATGGAAAAAAATAAATATGCTTTTAATCCATTTATGAAATAATAATTTACCTATTATATATATATATATCTTTAAATATTCAGTTTATGTTTACTATTTTTATCACAATAATTCAATGAGATTCCCTTCTATTTAATTCATCATGTCAATGCCATATGATACAACCAGGAAAATTAAAAACTCAAATTATGTAAATACCTTTTTCTGAGCTTTTAATGCTTTTTGAATAGCTATTGCAGGCTTGCCTCCCTTGGGTGTTTTCTTCGATGCTTGCACATTTTTCTTAGGTTTTGAAATTAATGGCTTAGATGCCACTTTTGGTGCAGGCTTAGCTGCTGGTTTCACTGCTGGTTTTGTAGAACTTGCAGTTTTTGTACTAGCTGCTTTCTTTGCAGTAGTAGGTGCTGGTTTTGATGCTGGTTTTGTTACTTTTGAAGTACTAGCAACAGTTGCTGGCTTCTTCTCAGATTTCTTTTCTGGCTTTTTTTCAGCATTCTTACTTGCTGAAAGGAAATAAGCAGGATAAATACAATAATAAGAAAATGTAAATATTTTTGTTAGGCACGAACATTTCGTTTACTGCTGTCTCATTTACAGGTTAGATTAATAATCTTTCTAATACATCATGTAAAATATAATGTTTCTATGCTTTTAAAAACTGATTTATTATGTTCAATGAGAAAACTAAAATTTTATGAAATAAAAAAGATTTAATATATATATAACCACATTAAAACACATGTGTTCGACAAACCACATGGTTATGTTGCCTACAATAACGAATGTTTACACTGTACTAAAAATTCTTTCACTCGACGATATAACCGTTAATATTTTCTTATATTAATTAAAATTTTATTTGCCATTATTAAATATATTTTATACAAAAAATTATAGTACATAATTAATCTTTAAATTTACCTGTTTTCTCCGTGGGTTTCGGTTTGGGAGCCATTTTGATAAAAAGGACGGCACTTCTAACCGGAAACAAACGCTTCGGAAATATTAAAACTACGTTAGTCGCTTAGCTCAGTATAAATCTTGAATTTTTGGTATTTTTTTGCTTGTATCGTTTCTAAAACATATAATAGAAAATAAAACATGAAATAAAAGAATTTCTTATTAGTGGTGTATCCAATAGCAATAAATCATATCATATTCTCTAAGCAACTTATTAAACAACATTTAATTCTCCCTCTCTCTCTCCCTCTCTCTCTCTCTCTATATATATATACATATATATATATATATATATAGATATATATATATAGATATATATATATATATAATTAGTTAAAAATATACAAGATTATTACATATTAAGCTAAAAAATACTACGGATTGAAAAATAAGTTTGATCAATCGATCAACATTATTAAATTTTTTAGAATGATTAAAATAATCTCGTTGTTGAAAAATATTGAAAACCATAAATGAGTAAATGACATCGTAAAAAGTACTCTAGCAGTTAATAACTTTAATTATAATATAACATTTTAGAAAAATAAAAAATAAGATTGTTCGATATTGAAACAAGTTTCAAACAAAAGTGGGATTGACTTTTGCAGTGTGCAACATATATACGATTATAGCGACATCCTTAAGCTGACTAATAAGAAACATGTTTGCATCATTGCGAACGTCATTTTCTTCTGAAAGAATCCTTTGAAGTGATGATAAAAAATCGTTGAATGAAATAAAGAAACAAAAAAATATCAGTCCATTGGTGTATCTTCGTATTATATTTTAATACGCTGCAATGCAATTCTTGCCTGACCATATTACAACATAATCTTGTACATTATTAAATGTTTCGAGTTATATCATATAGAAAAAAAAATTATCACATTAAAATAGCGTAAACTTTTAAAGCATTAAATTATTTTTTATGACGAATAGGTATTATAGATAGTATTCTTTTTATCTCGCATTTCTTCAATCGATAGTTGTATCTATTTATGTTCCAATGTGGGACTACTTCGGATATTTCGATTTACATTCTGTTAAAGTAAAAATGCTTTAATATCACTTTTAAATTTTACCGCTAGACATTTATATTTTTTTTCTTTTCCTCTTTTTTTTTTGGTCGATTTTGTGCGACATCTAGCGGAAAAGTAGATAGACTCGATGGTTGGTACATGTGTATACGACAGAATATGTATAAAAATAAATAGTATTTGTCAAATTTAGACTGAAATATTTTGCTATTATACGTAATATAATTTGCTAAGTTATAATATAAAACATAACGAATAATAAGAATTAAAATATTATGTCGGATTTAAGCTCGCAAAAATAGTCTTATCGACATAATCCCCATCTGCCGTGTAAATTTATGCCATAAACATTCTCGTATATACCGTTTGAGGTCGCAAACCACAAGTATTTGAATTTGAATAAATTTCAAACCGTTTCTTAGAGCGTGGATAAATGATGAGTCAATGTGAAGGTGTTCATCAATTTATTTTAAATGTAGTGTAAAATATGAATTATTAACGAAAAACAAATAAAAAAGAATAAAAAAACGAACGTGAAAAATTATACAAAGTTTAAAGAAATATATAAAGAAAAATTGATAAAATGTCAGATAGCATAAAAGTTGCTATCAAGGTTAGGCCTTTAATAAAAAGAGAGAAAGATGAAAATCTGCCGAAACAGTGGATGGTACATGGAAATTACATAGTGTCTACAGATGCAGAGATGAAAAAACGCGGGGATGGTGGATTTCATTTTGGTATAAACACGTGTATATACATATATATATATATATATATATATATATATATATATATATATATATATAAATTTTATTTTCTTTATTTATTGTTGATATTCATTTCTAATTTAATAATACGTAAACAATATGTTTTACGATTATTTTTATGTCAATTGTAATATTACACTTTTAGATCACATTTTTGATGAGGTAACTAAAAATAAAGATGTGTTCGATACTGTGGTAAAACCTATTGTCGATGCTGCAGTAAATGGTTTTAATGGAACAATATTTGCTTATGGCCAAACAAGCTCTGGAAAGACATTTACTATGATGGGAGATTTAAATGAACCTGGAATAATAACACTAGCTATTGAACACATGTTTGATGCCATTGCTAATACATTGAGAAGAGAGTTTTTATTAAGGTTTATGTTGTTTCTGTTGAATATAAAATATATTATTTATAAAGTTAATAAAATAATGAAGATAAGAAAAAATCTGAAGATAGCAAAAGGCATGTTTGAAAGTATATATTTTTTGTTTATAGAGTGTCGTATCTTGAAATATATAATGAAAAAGTTAATGATCTCTTAAATAAAAGCGGAACGGACTTAAAAATGCATGAGGATAATGGCCAAATAGTTTTGAAATGTAAAGAAGAAGTGACAAATAGTCCTGAACATGTTTTATCTATAATGAAAAAAGGTAACAAGAGTAGAAGAATAGAAGAAACTGATATGAATGAACGTAGTAGCAGAAGCCATACTATATTTCGCATTGTAAGAATATAAAAACGTTCATAACTTTCATCAATCTATTTACATTCTCTTTAAAACTTATGTACCTTGTACATAAATATTGGATTCTTTTATCATTTAAAAAAAATTATTAAAGTATTAAATCATTGTTTTATATATATGTATATATATGTATTCGTTGTAGACTATAGAAAGTCGTGAAACTGACGCTGGTTCAGATGGGGCAATTCAAGTTTCTCAATTAAACTTAGTTGATCTTGCTGGTTCTGAAAGAGCAGGTCAAACAGGTGCCACTGGAGAACGTTTTAAAGAGGGACGACATATCAATATGTCTCTTTCTACATTGGGATTAGTAATAAAGCAATTAAGTGAATCACAAGATATACAAAAATATGTAAACTTTCGAGATAGCAAATTAACGAGGTTGTTACAAGCTTCTTTAGGTGGAAATGCTATGACAGCAATAATATGTACTATAACACCAGCTGCATTAGAAGAATCTCAGTGTACATTGTCGTTAGTATATTATACATTTAAAACATTTTATATTGTTTATCATAAGGAATAATTTGAAACTGAATCAAAAAAAGAAAGAAAGAAAGAAAGAAAGAAAGAAAGATAGAAAGAAAGAAAGAAAGAAAAAAAAGAAAAAAAACAATTGAAATCAAAGAAATTGAATCTCAACTATTATCAATAATTTTGTTTGTTATGTATAGATTTGCATCACGTGCTAAGAGTGTAAAAAATGAACCACAGATCAATGAAGTTATGTCTGATGCCGCTCTTTTGAAGCGTTACGCAAAACAAATAGCTAAACTCAACACGGAACTAGACGTATGTATCAACTGAAAAGATTAAAAATACTTTAAAACAATAGAGATTAATAATAATAGTAATACAGTCAATATAGAAATAGCAATAAAAATTGCTCCAAGTATAAAAGTATTATATGAAGTAAATTTGCATGTATATATATATTCTTTTGTTGATAGAAAATAAAACAGGAAAATCGAACAGCTGAAGAAATGGAAAACAGATTGCATGAAAAAGATCGTGTTAATCAACTTTTAGAAGAAAGAATAGAATTGTTAAAGACCAAGATTGTTTCTGGAAATAATATAAATATTGAAGACTCATTTGGATATAGATCTAAAAGAAGACGAACTTGGGCAGGAGCTGTTACATTCAAACAAAATTTATCAATTTTTCAACCAAGCTATGGTCTGCCCACAATAAAAGAAATGTCACCAGAAAAGTCTTGTAGGAAAAGTATTATTCAATCTGTTGATTTAATGAATCAATGTAAATAATTTTATAATTTTACATATTTGTGTTTCTATTATATTTTTATTTATATTAATATTATTTATGTAAATTTCAGCATTTCAAACAGCTTTCACAGATTTTGAATTAGAATTAATTAATGACGAAAAAGATAGAGAAAATGAAAATTCTATAGACAACGATAGAGATATGTATATTACAAAAAATAGACATCAAAATCATGTTACATTCGTGGATGATGTACTTATTTATACATCTAATTATGATATTTATGAGAGTACACCCGAGAAGAAAGGTACACCATGTCAGACAAAGTAATAACAAAAATTATAATTAATAATTGAAATGTTATAACAATAAAGAATTAATAATATTCTATTATTTTAGTGATAATCAATATTCGTCTAATACGCCGGAAAAAGTTTTACGAGAAAGAATTAAATATTTAAAACAGGAATTCGATGAGCTTCGTGAGTTTACTACATTGGAAAAGCAAATGTACATTGAGAATCATCAATGTTACGTTACCGTAAGTATAATTGTTTCCAAAAAATTTATTTCCTTGTAGTTATAGTAAGTAGACGCATTTATTTATGCGTTTTAGGATGAAGAACAGCAATATACTGTAATGGGAGTAGATAAGTCGCAAGAAAAATTGAAAGGAAAAGAAGTGAATACGGAACAGGATTTAGACCTGCAACAACAAACAATAATGAATGTTACATCAGAAAATAGTTTATTAAAAAATATAATATTGGAAGTATTAAAATATGCCAATAATACTGCCAATATAAATGGACAAGTAGATCTGTTGTTAAATGATACGTCAGAAACTGTAAATGAAACAATTTTAGATTTGCCCTTTAAGGAAATTGAAGTAAAATATATATTATCGAAATTGCAAAATAAAATTGTGGAAAGTATAAAACAGCATGAAATGGAAAATTTAGAAAAAATCTTTGAATTAGGCAATCAGATGTTACATCTCAAATCTGAGAATATAGAATTGAAAGAAAAATTAGTGAATGCGGTAGGTTTAATAACTGACACTATAGAACCTGTAGAAGAAAGAAGGAATTCCTTGCTAATCGACATGAAAGAAAACTTTGAATTTGAAGAGAGTACAACAGTAAAATCAAAAGAGATAGAAAATATATTAGATCAGGGAAAGCAGTTAATAGAATTCTCACCTATAAAACCTCGAAGATCGTTAGAAGAATTAAAGTTAAATAATAAAACATGTGAAGTACTACCTTTCGTGATTAAAGAAAATTTAATTGATTGCAATTTCGTAAAAGCAGAGGATGCAGAATTGTCTGTCCATGTACAACGAAAAAAATCAATCTTAGAAGAAAGAGAAAATATAATTGCCGAGATGAATGAATATAAGGATCTTTCTGTTAATGAAAAAATTGATAATTTTGATATCGAAGATGTTCTGACCAAATTACATAAGCATTTGAATAATATAGAACAGTGTGAAATTTTGAAATTTCATCAATTGAATGAAATATTTACGTCACAGAATCAAGAATTGCAATATGTTTTAAGTGAATTAAATAAAAAAAAAATAGAAACAGATTACGATCATATAACAAATTTCATTGATGGAAGTATTAATTTAAAAAGCCTCCTATTAGATTTGGACGTATTTATTAAATCTATTACAGAAAAAAATAAAAAGATGAAGGTACAATTGCAAAAGCAGTTGTACGTTTTGACCGAAAGTTTTAATGACAATATTGATAATGAGGAACTTGCAGCGGATCTCGATTTAAAAACTCAAGAATTACATGATATCAAAGGTGATGTGGTAGGACTTAAGTTGGATATGAAAAAGTTACAAAGAACTATATTTTTGTTGACTGCAGAAAATGAAGAATTATCTGCTAAATTGACCGCAGAAAGGGAAAGTAAAGCTGATTGTTTGGTAAGAAAATTTTGCTATAAATTTAATTATAATCGAAAAATCGAAAAATGTAAAAATTATTAAAAACTTTATACTTCTTTCTGGTATTATTATTATTATTATTATTATTATTATTATTATTATTATGTATGTTAATGTGGTTATGAAAGTGTACAATTAACGATTAATTTTCTACATTTTTTAAGAAAACAACAAATGATTTACATGAGCAAATCTCTGAGATGAAAAATGAAAAAACGGCATTGTTAAATGAAATTCAAATTCTTGATAAACAAATTAAATGTTTGAAATCAGAAAAAATAGATATGAAGGAGGGCCAATTTTGTGTTAGTCATCAGGATGGAATAAATGAATCGATATCGTCGAATATTGAAACATCGTCGTGTGCGAACATAGAGAAACATATAAATGTAGACTCCAGGAATATTGAAGAAATTGATTTGCTCACAAACATTAATGAGTCCATGAAAGATAAAGAAAGAAGTACGGAATATGATAATGCTTTATCTTTAGATTGTTCATTACCAGAAACTGAATTAAAAACATCTTCAAAAAATAATACCGAAAGGGATGAAAATAATATAGAAGAATTACTATTGGATGGTAGCGTGTTAAAATCTGAACTTATTACATTAAAAGAGAAAGTAACGTTATTAACGGAGGAAAATGCAAAGCTCCTTAAAAAATCTTTGGATATTTCAGAAGGTAATATTCAGAATTAGATATATTATAATAATAATGCACAAACATTATAAAGATTGCGCCACTTTAATTTTTATTTAATCGTACACATTTAATGCTGCAGGTGATGAAGGAACGGAAGATGACAAGTCGAATATTTTATTTGAAAAATGTATAAATTCGAAAGGGACAATAGATTATCTTTTACAATTAAACAAAAAGTTGGCAGATATGAAAATAATTTCTTGCACTAAGTGCGTTCAAATGAAAGAATTAAATGAAAATAATAAAGATGTAAAGTTAAAGACAAAAATGTTAACCGATAAATTAGAGAATTTGCAAGAGAAATTCAATCGCAAGTGCGCAGACATAGAGGTACTCAAAAACAAAGCTAATGAGGAATCATTTTTACAAATCTCCGAAATGTCTTTAGATGGTTCTTCGTTAGATGGGATAAATGTAACTTCTGTAGAGGAAGAAGTTTCTCTTTTAAATAAAGAAATACAAATATTACAGGATGATCATGTTAAATTATCGTTTTTATATAAAGAGAAATGTAACGAAATTGAAAGGCTTCACAGTGCTAATATGAATGAAACAAATGTCGTATCTCCATTAAAAAAGGATACAAAAAGGAACAGATCTAAAGTTAATAAATTAAAGGAAGGTATTGATCATGTGAAAGCCGACTTAGAAGATCTGAAAAATAATGTTATTTGCGATCTTAAGAAGGCTTTAAATGAAATCAAAACGTTAAAATCTGCCAACGATGAATTATCCAAAATGGTATCGCATAATAATCAATTGTTGGAAACTACTGACGAGGGTATGAAGAGATTTGAAAATGAAATTATGAATTTAAATGCTGAAATTGAGAATTACAAAATGTTACAAGAACAAATGGAAAATGAAAAATATAATTTGAAACAGGAAATGGCAAATATAAAAGCAAATATAGAACAAAAAGAAGTTACTATAAATGATCTGCAACAAATAATCAATGAATGTAGGAAGGAAAATGACGATTTAAAAGAGAAAATATTCTACTTGGAAAATATAGAAGAAGAAGAAGAAGAAGAAGAAAACATTGACATGACAAGAACTATTTATGAAAATAAGCATAACAGAGGATGTATATTAAATGATGAGAATCGAAAACTTAAAGATGATTTAAATTCTGCAAGAACCTGTATAATTAATGAAATGAAATCTCTTAAACCAACAGAAGATGATGAAACCAACGAGTTTCTCGATAAATCTATAAACAGTCTTTTCTTTATGTTCTTAGAAAGGATTACTTTAAAGGAAAAGGAAATAATTGATATTATACAAGAACAATTCTTTTCTGAAAGAGAAAAACTTGAAAACGAAAGACAACTAAGTATAAATGCGGAGAGATATGTTAGATTATGTGCAGAAGAACTGAAAATAGAAATGGAAAAACTAAAAACTGATATAAGAAAACGAGAGGAAGAACATCGTGAATTATTAAATAAAATTTCATATCTGGAACAGTTATTAAGAGAAAGTAATGATGAAAGAGAAATACTTAGGAAAAAAATTCAGTCTTTCGAAATGGATTATGATAATGCAGAGATATATTTTAATAATGATTCTGAAATAAAATCGCAACAAGATGAAAATATTATAAATAAAAAAGAAGAAGTATTAATAGAAGAAGGTATGAAAAATAAAGAGATTGAATTGAAAATAGAAATGAAAAAACGGACTAGGGAAGAATATGAAGAAAAATTAGACAGTTTAGGTAATAATTTAGAAACATATAAAATAAAAAATATAGAGCTCATGGAACAGTTAAAAAATCTTGAAACGAATGAAAGAGACTTACAAGATATGCTCGCTATAAGAACAGATGAATTAGCTAAAAGTAATGAAAGTTTAGAGAAAATAAAATCTGATATTGAATCCTTTACAAATGCCAATAATGAATTAAATCGTGAGATGGAAAAAAGAAGTGCATCTATTACTAAACTTAATGCCGAAATAAGAGATCTAGTTGAATTGGTAGAATCAAATAAAATAGAAAATGTTGCATTAATAAAAAAATTAGAAGAATTTGAAATAAATGAAAAAAATCTAAATGTTATGCTTAATAAGAAAATGGATGAATTGGTAGAGAAGAATAAAAATGTAGAAAAAATGAAAATTGAAATAGAACACCTCACAACGATTTGTAATGGATTGAAAAACGAAATTGAACATAAAAATGCGCGCATTGCAGAAGTTACTACTCTTTTAGAAAACAAAACTGACATATTATCTGAATATAAAACAAAACTGGAAAGCATTACACCGGAGTATGAACTTTTACAAAAACAACTTAATGAAAAAATATTAACCATAAATAAGCATATGTCAGAATTGGAAAGTTTGAAAGTAGACAATGAAATGCATCTGACAAATATGAAGGAGACGTTAAATTTAGAAAACGTTAAATACGCAGAATTGAATAAACAATTGGCAAATGTAAATAACGAAAACATTATTTTACTTACAGAATTAGATACATTAAAAGAACATTATAGTCAGTTAGAGGAAAAAAATGTGAAATTGGAACAAAAACTTAGAAACAGTAACAGTAAAATCAAATTGGAAACTAACATGCAAGATTTACTGGAACAGAATAAAGTATTGCAGAGTAATTTAGATGGTGCTTATAATTGTATAACAGAATTAAAGGATAAGAAAAATCATTTATTAGAGGAATTGTTAAGTGCAAAGGAACGACATGAATCTTTACTCGAAGAGAATACAAAAATGAAAGAATTATTATCAAATAAAATGAAAGAAAACGTTTCTAATGTACATACAACACTACAGGAACAGTATGATATCCTTTTAAATGAAAAAAGTAAAATTACACTTGAATTGGAGGAAAGTAAAATATTATTATGTCAAAAGGAAAAAGACTTGAAATATTATATAAATCAATTTGAAGAATTGAAAAGAAAAAATCAAGAATTAGACGAGGAAGCAGAAGAATTGATACGAGAGAACGAAAAATTGACAGAAAAGATATATTCATATTTTGATGATGATAATTCTGGTGATAAGTTGAAGGTTGAAATAAGTATTTTAAAGGAAGAAAACAAAAGGTTACAAGATGAACTTACGAAGTTTGATGATGTAAAAAGATCACATATAAAATTGCAAACTAAAATAACTGACACATCAAAGATATCTAATTTCAATGGTGAAGTTAATGGACAAGAATGTATTACACATGGAATGCTTCAACAAAAAGACCAATTAAAATCTATTGTTGAATGTAATATAAATGAAGAGATCAATAATGATAAACTTGCGAATTTAAAGAAACAAATACAAGAGCTAGAACACGAATTGGTATCCAAAAATGGAAGGATCGCATCGTTACAATTACAAATACAAAGAGAAAGTTTTCCATATCAGAAAAAATGTAAAGATTTGGAAGAAAATGTCTTGGCTTTTAAAAATAAGGTATATGAATATATTCTTATAAGTGATAAATGTGACAAATCTATAAAATGGATTAAAAATTTTTATACAATTTCTTTTTTCTTTTTCTCCTCTACTCCAGAATATTCATCTTGAAGGCGAAATAAAGAAACTTAGACATGTTATGAGTGACATTAATATGAAAGAATGTTACATGTGTAAAAATCGATATATCAATACAAAAAATCAATATGTTCAAACTATACCAACTAATAAGATACAGTTTTGTGGAACTAGTAGTGGAATCGTTGATGTAAGTATTAATTTTTCATGATAACAATGAATATATATTCTGTACTTATTTTTTGTAATATCTTTTATAACATTAAGTGAAATAAATAAATATGTTTAATTATCTTTCAAACAGGAACACATACAAATACAGAAATTAGAAAAGGAAAAATCTTTCATGAAACAATTGTGTCGGTCTCGGTGTCGACGAATAAAAGAGCTTGAAAAGAAAATAATGGAATTTGAAAATGCTGAAAGTTTATCAAAAGAAACAAACATTGCTCCAAACGATATATCCTGTAACACACCGAGATTTTAATTAAATTTAACAAACAAAAATTTTCTAAAGTGTCATCTTCTTACGATGTAAAATTATATCTGCATCTTGAGGAAACATTATATTTTAAATACTATATGGATAATTAACGTTATTACTATTGCAAAGCATTATGTACATATGAAAGTATTATTGAAAATGACTATTTTTATATATTGTTTACATATTATAAGTACATAAGGTAATGATTTCAATAATTACAGATTCCAATAGTATTATTACTAGATTATGGATTATTTTTAAGGGTTTGTATCTTTAGATATTTTTGTAATAATAATAATTTAAATTTATTTTATCTATAGCATATTCTCTCTTATATTTTATATATTTACTCTATATTTTTGACGAAGCTAAGAGAAGCAGAGGAAAAAGATTAATTCAACTCTAATGCATGCATATATATATATGTATATATATATGTATATATATATATGTATATATATATGTATATATATATATGTATATATATATGTATATATATATGTATATATATATATACATATATATGTATATATATATATATATATGTATATATATATATATGTATATATAATTTTTATGACACTCTAAATGCAATACGATCTAATCATAAAAGTATAGAAAACATATATCTAGCGGTGATCGAAAATTGAAAGATATCGAAAATGAGATCGAAAATCGCTTTAATAAATCTCGAAAAATTGCGCATGCGTACTAGTAATATAATTTAAACGTGGCTTTGATCGTTCGCCGATAACAGTGTACAGCGTAGAGAAAAACTTTTGTAAAAGTGTAAGTACGAAAAGAACGTTCTCTAGACGACTATCGATTATATCGGATGAAACTCGAAGCAATGTGTTGTATTATTTAATCGATCGAATGATCCCTTCATTCTGAAAAACCAATTTATCGAGATCACGATATGAATGGGTGTATACTAATTTGTCATTAAATGAATCAGTGACTGGAGTTACGAAAATCTTTTCGAGTATTTGTCTCTTGTGAACCTGTGTATCGTAGCTATGTAAATAAAATATAAAAATAGTAGAATGAATAATATCAGAAAACTGATTAATACGATTAATTTGCAAATGCCATTCGTTTATACATACAAGTTATTTATTTTATTATCCATATCTGCTGCCATATTATTGACTTCAACGAATAATTGATATTTTGGATCAGGCTTAAATTTAGATAAATCGATAATTAATAAAATTATAAGACGAGAGTTAACTTTAAATAATTTTTATACATTTTAACATTGTAATGTTATGTCATTATACGATGCTTAATTCTGATTGGAGGATGTCTCCATATTACTTTCGACTTTGGCGACATCTAGTATTAGTTTATTAGTGCTGGCAGTGCATTTGTATCGAGATAAATAATTTAAAGATAAAGAATTAAATAATAAAAATGTCTCTTGCCGATGAGTTATTAGCAGATTTAGAAGAAAATGATGATTCCAATCGAATGGTAGAAGAACCAGAGCCAGATTTTATTCCACCAAATATTTCTAAAACCATTGAAGAAGGTTAGTTTTTATTTTATATTATGTCTATAACTTTTAATTAATTTGTTTTTATTATAGAAGTAAAAGTTGCTTCGGTAAGAGAATTAGCAAAACTTCGTGATTCTGAGGAATTGAAGAAGATAATGTTTGAAATAGAAAAATACAGTAAAGTACCTAGAAAGTCGGCAGATATCATAGGCCCTGTTGAATCTGATCCAGAATATCAATTGATTGTTGAAGCAAATAATATGGCAGTCGATATAGATAATGAAATAGGTAATTCATTTCTTTAAATGAATGGCGTATAATCTTACTAATCAATTTTTATCATATATTTTTCCATTCATACTTTTATTTTTATGTTTTATATAGCTACGATACATCGATTTACAAGAGATAAATACTCGAAAAGATTTCCAGAACTCGAGTCTTTGGTGGTAGGACCATTAGAATATGTTATGACTGTACAAGAACTTGGAAATGATTTAGATAAAGCAAAAAATAATGAAACTCTACAACAATTTCTTACACAAGCTACTATTATGGTTGTATCTGTCACAGCTTCTACGACACAAGGGTAAATAATTTATCTATCTTAGTTAAACAATTGTTCATTATGTTTGAATTTTTATAATTCTAACCACATTTTTGTTATTATATTTTATTACAGGCAGTTATTAAGCGAAGAAGAAAGGGAAGCTATATGCGAAGCCTGTGATATGGCAGTAGAGTTAAATAATTGTAAATCTAAAATATTGGAATATGTAGAAAGCAGAATGGCTTTTATAGCACCAAATCTTTCTGTAATAGTTGGAGCATCTACTGCTGCAAAAATTATGGGTATGTTTATACAAGTGTATCTCAAAATTTTAAATGATACATTAACTTTTGAAAATTTAACATATCTACATGTACTTTATTAGGTGTTGCTGGAGGTTTGACCAAGTTGTCCAAAATGCCGGCTTGCAATGTATTAGTTTTAGGATCTCAGAGAACAACACTATCTGGTTTTTCACAAATGACAAGTCTACCTCATACAGGATTTATATATTATTCTGAAATTGTTCAAGAAGCACCACCTGTGAGTCTACAGAATATTATTATAAGTAGATATTTTTTTGTATAAGTTGTATAATAAATAAATAAATAAATATATATATATATATATATATATATATATATGTACACACACACACACACACATGTATATGTATATAAACAATAACACTATTTCAGGATTTACGTAGGAAAGCAGCCAGACTTGTTGCAGCAAAAGGTACATTGGCTGCTCGTGTGGATGCTTTTCACGAAAGTACAGATGGCCATATTGGGCAATTATTCCGTGATGAAATTGAAAAGAAATTAGATAAATTACAAGAACCACCTCCTGTCAAATTTGTAAAACCTTTACCAAAACCAATTGATCCAAGTAGAAAGAAGCGTGGTGGCAAGCGTGTTCGAAAAATGAAGGAACGCTATGCGATAACAGAATTCAGAAAACACGCAAATAGAATGAACTTTGCGGATATAGAGAACGACGCTTACCAAGAAGATCTTGGATATTCAAGAGGTACAATTGGAAAGGCAGGAACAGGACGCATTAGATTACCGCAAATCGATGAAAAAACAAAAGTACGAATTTCAAAGACTTTACAGAAGAATTTACAAAAACAACAACAATGGGGTGGAAGTACTACTGTTAAAAAACAAGTCTCTGGAACGGCTTCAAGCGTAGCATTTACACCGTTGCAGGTAAAATTTTCAAAATATTCTCTAATATTAATTCTTTATAATTATCATATATTATATTATATTATTTATTGTAGGGCTTGGAAATTGTTAATCCGCAAGCCGCAGAGAAAAAAGTAAATGAAGCTAATGCCAAATATTTTTCAAATACGGCTGGTTTCTTAAAAGTGAAAAAATCTTAATGTAAATGTGTTTTATATGCGTTTTAAATTTAGGAATATCATTACTTAATATTTAAATGTTAAAAATATCATGTACAAAATTTTATAATTTATCGCATAATGATAAGTTCATTAGAATAGATAAGGAAAAAAAAGAATAACTAAATTAATTAAAAAACATCATAATCACGTACATGTATATATACTATGCTATAATATTAATAAGTCTAATTATATTCAATTTTTATTCTTAGAATTGAATATGTGTTTTCTTTTTTTATACTGGCAAATGAACTTATTAATGTTATAACCTCATAAATATATGTGATGATCCTCGTAACAGTAACGATGATTTTTAAAGTACAGTAATGATAATCTAATAAAAAAAATCATGAAAATGAATATAAATTTCTAATCGAATTGGATCGGTTCAGCCATCTTCGGGAAAGCTCAACAATCTTCAGGTATGTTCGATCGATTACATTTCGGTGATGACATCTCTCGGAATTTTTATTTTCTCTTGTTATTAATTTACGCAATTGATAAAGAAATTATTCTTAATAATTTTATTCCGTTTTCTACTTTGCCAATCGGTATATACTCTCAATATTCTGTTATACTAATATCATATAATTATTGTTAAATATTAGTCATTTTGTTGGTATTCAAATATTTATAAGTTTTTGATTAATACTTAAAAATGAAATCTATGAATATTCATTATGTTTATCTTACAGCTGTAACGTTAATTATCGACAAGATATTTTATATATATGTATATATATACATATAAATCATGGACAAAATACATTGAAAATATGAAATATTAAGGATATCAAATTTTTAAAATGTCATTTAATATTAATTTGATAGTAAGCCTATGCGAAACGAGATAGAATAGGAATAAATTCAATTCATATTTCCCGCCTACTGTCTGCATCAAAAACGTCAGATATACTCACTACTACTAACAACACTGTTTTATTGCACGCAGTCGCATTTGTATATTATTATAAGTCGCACTTATATTCTTTTCCAGTAATTTTACGTTGTATATCACAGAGTCATACGAAAAATAAATTATTGAAATCCATCGGCGTTACTTCGTTTATTAAGTAAGAAACTTAATAATTTAATTTAATTAATTAATTTCATTTAAAAAGAAGAAAAGTTTAATTCTTAAATGATCTTTTTTTTTTTTTATAGCAAAATAACGTATTCAAAATAAATTTCTGTATTTAGAGACTTTGATGCATAATAATGGGAAATGCTGGTAGTAATCAAGCAGTCGGTCATGGCCATACTTCAGGTAGAGATCGTCACAGTAAAGAACATGCACCACCTTCCCCGGGAAAAGAAGGCCAGGCATTTGTCTTTGACAAAAAGCCTAATCAGAAGCTAGTTTTCCAATCGTCCCATGATGAAGGAGAACCTTATTATACAAAAGTATTTAACAATCAAAAGAAATTTTTTGTGGCAATATATATATATATATATATATATATATATATATATATATATATATATATATATATATACATACATATATATACACACACACACACACACACTCACACACATGTGCTTTTTTATGCAGACAAGTCAACAGGATGGAGATAATTTTAGTGGGCCACGTCCAAGATCAAATACAGTGTCTGAGGGAACAAAAGTTACAGATAGCAAAGTATTGCCTACGGTTTTCAAATGGGAAGGCGGTGGAAAGCAAGTATATATCAGTGGAACATTCACAGGATGGAAAACATTGCCTATGGTAAAGAGTCATGGTGATTTTGTTACTATTATTGATCTACCAGAAGGAGAACATCAATATAAATTCTATGTTGATGGAGAATGGAGGCATGACCCTGGTTTGGTAAGAAAAAGATCTATTAATTAATTTAAATTTATTAGTACTTTAAGAACAATGATTAAAATAATGATTAAATTGTCTATTTAGAAAATAGTTGATAATGGTACAGGTTCTAAGAATAATTTAGTATCCGTAAGAAAGTCAGACTTTGAAGTTTTCCAAGCTCTTGCTAAAGACAGCGAAGGTGTTTCTAATAGCGTTCAAACTGAATATGGACAAGAAATTTTACCTCATAAACCATGGGATAAAGTGGTTGGACCGCCAATCTTACCACCACATTTATTACAAGTTATCCTTAATAAAGATACGCCATTATCTGTGAGTAATTATGAAAGAATTATTTTGATTAGTTTATAATAAAATATGTATTGATTATAATGTATTTTTTCAGTGTGAACCAACTCTTCTACCAGAACCAAATCATGTGATGCTGAATCACTTATACGCTTTAAGTATTAAAGATAGTGTTATGGTTTTATCAGCCACGCATCGCTATCGAAAAAAATATGTAACTACTCTATTATATAAACCAATTTAATGATTTACATTATTCCTGCATTTAAAAGTGATACTTAATTATTTTGAAACGATACAAATTGCATTCATTATTCAGATATCAGAAATTGTAGGCAAGCTGAACTATTAATGACAAGAGGTTTGCTCAATTGTAAAATAATATAATTACTATTTATTAAAGCTTATTAAGTATCATATATATTTTATAGAATTGTAAAGAATATAATATTATCGTACATTTCTTTGTAATTAAGCAAAAAAGAGAGAGAGAGACAAGCTTTGATTATTATTGAATGAAAAATAGTACATTCTCTTTAATCATTTGTAATATTAATTAAAGAATTATAACAGTTATTGTTTCTTATTACAAAATTATGTCAAAATTAGAATTTAAATATTATTGTTGATTATAATTGTTGTTCTGAATGGGAAACTTCGAGCTAATGGGCAGTCCTTTCGCATACCGAAAGTAGACGTCAAAATAATAATATGTGTAAATATGTCAAATGGTATGTGTAAATGTAGTAATGTAGTAATGTGCAAAACCGAATTACAACAAAGAAAAACGATTTTTTAAATTTCTAAACCATTCGGAATAATATACACATTTTTGTATTTAATAATGTCAAACATTAATTTATCATAATCGTTTATAATATTATATTATTTATCGCAGGGTTTAGAAATTGTTAATCCAGAAGCAGCAGAAAAAAAAGTAATTGATTTCAAGGCCAAATACTTGGCGAATACGACTCATTTCTTAATAGTAAAGAATTACAATTTATCGAGTATTAAGATTATAAAAAATGAATAAACTAATTGATAACATCGTTCAGTATCAGAGGATAAAGAGTTATATGATTCTAAACAATTAAATTTCATCGTATATACTCGTATATATCGTATTAGCGCTGCAATCAATTTCCAGTGCATCAGTCGATAATACAGAACATCATATTTACTCACATCACGTAACAGCGTGCACTTTGGTAAGCGTGTAATAATAAATACATGTTTTACCGACGATAACTAAATTGATAATGTAAATTTTAACTGCTAAGCTATTCGATCTTATTGTTCGCATTTTAATTTGGAAAATTAAAAATTCAAAGCATCGAGTCGTGTATTACAATTGTGATGCGTTCAGATTCTATAACACATCAAAATAAACGTCATCGTTTCTCCACATGGCAATCTGCGACATGCATTAGATAAATTTTATTTGTTTCTATACATCATATTCGTTTATCATATATAATATTTTGTTAAGCAAATTAAAGGGGATTGATTATATAAATTTTTTTTGCAATGTGAGAACATGAATAATTTTATTAAATTTCAAGTTGTATATAATATAAAAGGAAAAAAAAAATTCGCCCCCGGGTGGGCTCGAACCACCAACCTTTCGGTTAACAGCCGAACGCGCTAGCCGATTGCGCCACGGAGGCTCTTGGGAAATGATTTCTTTTTAGTACAGAAAAGATGGAAATCTAGTTTCAATAAATAGTTAATTTTTTTTATAATAAATGATAATATAGGTGTGATTTTTATTTTTTAGGAAAACATGCCATACATCCAATTACATCTTTATTATTTGTTATTCATTTAATATAACTGGTCGCCTGAATGTATGCAACTTTTTCTACATTTGCGCAAGTCCTAGTACGAAATACGTGGGAATTGGTTGACTGACGAAATATCATACTTTTAGATATTCAAAGATGATAATGAAATGGATTAGACAGGTACGTTATACACACGGTCGCTGGCTTTAAAAAGATCGATTAACACATCAATTTGCATTTAAGCGTAACTAACTTAATTCTGCGTGCAAATGCATATATATGCAAAGTAAGTGTATCTGCGGCTTACAAATGGCATCTTCCATTAACCATTTGCTTATTTGCGCCTCGAACAAATTTCTAGTTAACATAGTGAACCTATCATCGAAGAAAGATTATTTTCATTACGAAAGACATTGTGAATATTTTACTAATATAATTTTCTTTGCTTTTAGAGACGAAGTGAGAGAGAGAGAGAGAGAGCGAGAGAAAGATAGATTTACATGATAAAGATATAATTCTCAAGACTGAAAAAATAAAATATGAGGAGACATTATGGCAATCAAATTTTATTAATTAATTTCAATTTGTTGGCGAGAAAATAAAAAAAAGAATTACGAAAGAAAATCAATCTCGCAGGTTACTAAATATGTTTAACCTGAAATTAAGACAGAGACCACAATGTAATAGTAACCAAGGTGTCGATAATGAATCTCAACGTTAATTAGTCCAGCAGAGGTGAGGCGATAGGTAGTTCGTCGTGGCATACCGATATCTCTTTAGCAGTGCCGTGAGCAAACTGAAGGAAAGAAGGAAGGAAAGAGAAGAAAGAGAAGAAGAAGAAGAAGAAGAAGAAGAAGAAGAAGAAGAAGAAGAAGAAGAAGAAGAAGAAGAGGAGAGTAAAGCTTAACTGAAACGTCACGCCACTTGTTACTCGTTAGTGTGCACGATGCCATCTTTACAACAAGCACAGAGGACCCTGAGGCCGAGTTACTCCCTACGGTAGCCGACATCGATAGCGACCAAGAACGTGTAATTAACAATGTTTCTCGTCTTTATCCAGGTCAGTTTGAAAAAGATCCTCGACAGATTTCGACGAAGATATAACATCGATCCATTGAATATTTCCCTTATTATTCATAAACGAATGTGAAAATTACTTTGAACATATATTGGGATTAGCAAACATTTCTTTGACGATATCCGATCGTATTTCTATCTTATCGTAAGCGTAGAGTTTCAATGAACATAATTAATGTATATATATATATATATATATATATATATATATATATATATATTTAAGTGAATAGTTTTATTAATTTATTGTTTCTTTTACAATATTTCACACGAAGTGTATTAGTTTTTATTGTTAAGTCGAATAATTAGAAAATTTCTTTTCGTATCTCTGAACAGATATAAACGAAACGTTAAGGTTTGAATGAAAAAAAAGGAGAAAAGAAAGGTGATAGAAAGAGGGAGAGAGAGAGAGAGAGAGAGAGAGAGAGAGAGAGAGAGAGGGAGATAAAGGAAAGGGAATTTACTGAGAACGAACAACGGTGTGTCAGGTGGCGTCTGGATTCGAATCGTCGAGACGAAGACGACGACGACGACGACGACGACGACCATGTTCTGTGGCTTGGTCCAATCTCGAAGGTATCTTTCGAGAGTCGACAGCGAGTGTGCTTCCATTACGCTGGGCGGTGGTCCCTCGTTATATCCGTGGGACGGCCAACTCTGTGGCTGCACATCTGATAATCCAAGGATTTATGGTGGCCCTGATGGTTCATTTAGCACCGACATGGTCGACAGGGGCGGCGTCGAAATATCTTCGCGTGCGTGGCCGTGCTAACGCGACTATGCGGAAATATCTCGTTAAAAATGGGTTAGCTCGTTCGTAAGCGAGAACGCGTCACGTCATTTAAAACCTCACATCGCATCATACCAGATACATATATATGTATGTTATACTATATCCGGATACTACATTCGGATATATAGAATATATCCGAATTCTTATTCGTATTCTTATTCTTCTTTTTTTATTATATTTTATTCTTTTTCTTCTTTTTTCTTTTTCCCTTTTAATCTGTTAGACAGAACAAACAGTAAAACCATTAAAGGGACTTTCTTATTTCTTTTATTTAATGCACGAGAAACGTATTAAGGAGTTAATTATTTTGTGAAGTTGGATATTAAACGTCCTCGTTTGAACAAGACCTTCTTCGACTGTGACCGACGGTGGAAAAGAGGAAGGGGAAGGATTTAGTACTGCACCACGAATCGCAGAACGGATGGAACTTTCACTCGATGGAATCATCAAATAGGTAAATAACTACTGCTATTATGTTTATTGCGACGATAAACTGCCACGATATATCGTTCGTCTCTACCAATGTATCGTGGTAATATACTTTTGGATCTTTGGTAAATAATTATTGAATTTTTAACATTATATTTAGGAAAACGTCATATTCATTTAACGAGCTTTCGAGTATTTACAATTAGAAATTAATAATTTGTTTCTATTTGTCTATAACTTTTTAACATTTTAATTTCGAATATTTCAAACAAAATATCATTATATTATTTCAATAGTGCGATTAATGTGGCATTAAATTAATAATTAATGTCACGTATGTAGGTAAATCGTATAGGTATTGTTTGAGGATAAGGCTAATTACTGAATTAGACGAGTAGTCAGATTGTAATTAGTCTAGTTAAGCAGCATCGTCGGTGGTCGTAAACGGCCAGTAAAATATGATCTATGCTTTCTCCTTCGTTATCCACACTAATATGCAAAGAAACATACTAATTAATAACACCTCACGTATAATATCTTTGAACGATAATAGATTGAATTAGATGAAATTACTAAGAACAATGCTTACAATTTCAAAATGATATTTCGTATAAAGTTGATTATTCGATTTGAACATCTATTATGGTATTTGCCAAACGAAATGTATTTTTTCATTAATGACTACTCGATATTAATGTATAGTAAAAGAATGCAAGACGTCTTATTTAAAGAAATGTATGATTCTTTTGCATATGCATGTATGCGAATGAATGTCATCGTGCCGTGGGAAATACGACAGGAGCTCGTTTAAGAAAACAATTTCGAGATACGTCGTAAATAGAAGAAGATCGTCAGTTGCGTTCGATAGCCATATACAGTAAAGGCAAAGAATATTATTTGCAGAAAATGAATATACAATAAATCACTAATTTTCTTTAAATCTGTTCCGACGTTTTTTTTTTCTTGGACATTTATCTTATCATTTTAATGATAAGATATTTATATATTTGAGAGGAATGATTTACAAGATATTAATCGTAATTTTTTATCAGGAACATTTGCAACAACCATAAGATAATCGTCGTCGTCGTCATCATCATTATCATTATCATCATCATCATCATCATCATCATCATCATCATCATCATCATCATCATCATCATCATCATCATCATCATCATCATCATCATCATCATCATGATCGAAGGATTTCTATCGTAAAATCGTTAGTGTTTGTGAGAGACTCGACGCGATTCGACGTGACCGATAATCGCTCGTCCAGGACGTCATGTCGTCGTCCTCGTCGTCTTCGTCGTTGTCATCTTGCACTCTTGCTTTTGACGTTAGATCCATTCTCGTGAGCTCAAGGAAAGATTTCGACATTGTTAGCCCCTCAGCCGTCGTTCGGACGATCATCGGCGTCGTAAAGATCTTGTGATATGACATGCGTTACGTATCTTCTTCTTCGTCGTGATACGAAAGTCGCATAAATGTCTCCTCTCTCTCCCTCACTCTCTCTCTCTCTCTCTCTCTCTCTCTCTCTCTCTCTCTCTCTCTCTCTCTCTCTCTCTCTCCTCTTTTCCCTCGTTTAGTTATACGTCCGTGTATCCAGGAAGTATCTTCACGTCAATGTGCCTTCGATAAGATGCAAAATTAAAGATTATTTATTTATTTCTTTATCATGCAATATATACGTAACGAACGCTTTGTGAACGCGTAGAGAAGAGTAAAAGCAAGAAAACAAGTTCGATAGAAGGGAGAGAGACGAACCAAGATCGGATTTTCGATCGAGCTCACATCGAGGATAGTTTCGCGGCTCATTAGCCGATTAGAGCTGTATTATATCGAAGAGTAATTACCGGCCGCGTGAATTATTAGCTTGGCTCTCCGGTACTTTCTTTGAAAAATGTCTGTCTACTATATAGGTGTACCTATCTCTACGTACTTTCGTTCGCCGCTTTTAGAAAGCCTATTCGCCGAGATCGAACGTTGTATAATATCGAGGTAATTACTCTTGTAATTGCTCAGGTCCATGCCTTTGATTAGTATCGCAATGCAATGCAACGCAATGCAAGAATTGATAAACTTTCTTACTTCGTTAGCTATAATTTTATTTATTTTTTTGTTTTTCTTCTTTTTTCGTTTTTTTTTTCTTTCTTTCTTTTTTTTTTTTTTTAAGAAATAATATCGACCGATCACTGTTTTATGATGCGATCGTTAAAAGTGTCCTTCGATTGTTCCTTTGATTATTTCAATACTCTCTTCCAAAGCTCGTGCAAATTAAAAGCAAGCAAAGTTAATGGGCAACGGTGGCACGCATTTACGAGCCGTGGACGTTTTCGTAATTCACTTTCTAACGCCTAGCTAAAATTATATCGTCACTCTCTCGTACGTACATACATACTTACTAACCTTCTCTTGCCGCACGTGTATATGTATTATACATGTAATACATAACTATATCTTCTACCGTCCTACGGATATCTTATAACGTTCGCAATTCAAATGGGCTCGTAGCATATTCGTAGTATGACTAACTACGACGTCTTTCTGGTCATGCAAAAAGACGCTTCGCATTCGTTGCCGAGTTATGAGAAAGGGTTGTGATAGTCTCTCTATGTGATAGTCTCTATGCCTACGATAATATACGAGAGAGTTATAATTTATAAACGTTGTTATAATGTAAAACTTACGAGTTCGTACGTTGAACTATGAAATACGATATTATTCTATTACCCTCAATACGATACGATTATTTTCTTGCAGATCTAAAACGAGACTGATCTTTGAATAATCGCGCGTATGGATAATTACGAACTCGTAAAAAAGATTCTTGGCATGGTTCATGCGTTACCGGTGACATGTAAAAAACTTGGAAGAAATAGGGAGCAAAAAAAAGAAGAAAGAGAAACAAGAAGAAGAAGAAAAAAAAGAAAAGAACGCACTTTCCTAAGGAAATAGCACTAAATGTGTGATAACCGTGTTTTTCTTAATAGATATCAAAAGTTAATGAAGCAACGATCGCGTATAAACTGGTCGGTATCATTAAATCCGAATTTCCGATTTAATAGAAAGAAGAAAGATAGATGGGTATACAGAAAAAGGAGAGAATTAGTTCAAGTATTCGTATTTATCCTCTTTTTTATCCTTCCTTTTATCCTTCTTCTTCCTTTTCTCTTGGAATGCATCAAATGTAATCAAGATAAAAGTAGATGAGTCTAAACGTTAATCGAGCGTATAATTATTCTGTTAGAGTTGAAAAATATCAAAGTGAGTTCCCTCGGTACACGTGGCTCTTTACGACGTGGAAGAAATCATCGTAAATATAAATGCTTCCGGTGAAATGCTCTTGGCAATCTCATCGTAGTTAGGTCGTGTCCCGCTATCTTCGATCTGATGCATCACAAACGAAACGTTCCCGCATGCTGGATTTCTCTGCTGAGATATAGCTTGAGTTGGGGTGAGATGATGGGAACGACGACGACGACGACGACGACGACGACGACGACGATGACAATGACAAGGAGGAGGAGGAGGTAGAAAGAAATAAACGACTCTTTTCATCGGCCATTTTCGGGTATTCGAATCATTTCGCGGTATTGGAATAACGAAACATGGTAAGTACCATCGTCTTTATAAAGGAGGAGAAGGTATAACGACAACAACGATCGAGAGCTCGAAAGTTAATGAAAGTTTCTATTTATCTATCTCTCTCTTCCTCTTAAATCCCTCTTCTTCCTCCCTCTCCTCCTCCACCTCCTCCTCCCACCCTTAACATTTATCTGGAAGAAGCAGCAGCAGCATTGCCTCCAGCTGGACCCCCGACGCCTTTAAAACATCCATCGCTTTGTAAGCTTCGGATTATAGCATGTACAAACACTCAGAATATATATATAAATATATATATAGATATATATATATATATATATATATGTGTGTGTGTATGTATGTATGTATGTATGTATGTACGTATGTATGTACACTCTTGCGAACGGCTAATGATGACAAATATATATCCGTGCGAACTAGTACCCGCGATTAATAATATTCGCTTACGCTTCGAACGATTCGTTACGCTCGAATATATGCGGAACGCCGTACGCAAACGAATATTTCATCGTAACAGCCGAGCGCCAAGGGAATTTATGTTGCCGCGAGGTCTACGTTTTCGGCGAACAAACGGCCATGGTGATTCGTCTTATTACCGTCATTCTTTTCATATTTATCATCGGCGATTCTCGTAATAAGTGTACCTTTGATCGAACGTTTCTTTTCATCATTGGCCAAACTCGGTAGCATCTATATGCGTTTGATTAATCTAATTAGTTAGTAAGGTCTATATATACTAGAATATAAAAAAGTTGAGAATATCGACGTTCTCGCGTTTTTCTTATTCGACTTCTCTCGTAGTCCCTCTTAGATTTGTTCGCACGATTCACTTTATCTATCCTGTCTTTTCTCTCTCTCTCTCTCTCTCTCTCTCTCTCTCTGCTTTTTTTCACAGAAACTCGTCCAGTTGCCAATTTGTATAAGTATTATCGTTCATTCTCCCTTCCTAATGATACTCGATACTTCCCTCTAATCGCACTATTCCTACTTATTTTTGTCACCAGTCAATTACTTTTCTTGATTCAGCAAAGAAAAAGGATTTTATCGTGCTAACTCCACCCGACTGGTCAGAGCCAGTTTCAAATCATTGAAAGAAATAGGATGAAGGAAAAATCACAAGTAGAGTTCGAGGCTTCACATTGGAGGCGATGGGAATGTCACGTGTTCTGCCTTGAGGACGGACCATAGAAAACGTACGAGCGTGCGTGCGTGCGCGCGCGCTCGCTCGCTCGGGTATACGGCTCGTTCGTAAATTCAATTATGGAGACTCGATCCCATTAGGAGCTGGGTAGCAGTAAAAACGTCCGGAGGTAGTACCTACTCTACGCGGCGTGGCTCCGGAGCCTCCGACGATCGCCTCCTTTGCTCGCTAAGACCGCCCTCCCCTCCCCTTCTCAGTCACTGCAGCCTTGTCCGCGCCTTTACTCTTGCTTGCATCGCGTTCTATGCGCTCTCGATACCTTCGTCGAACGTATGCAGATATCGCTTCTTTCGAAACACGTCTATGCCGCTAATGTATTCCGCGTTAGCGTTTCAGAGCGTCATTATTGTATTCCTGCAAAATTCCCTTTCACTATTTTCAATCGGCCGTGCATATATATATATATATATATATATATATATATATATATATATGTATATATATATATGTATCTATGGAATATCGTTGACTTGTAATTTTTTTTCTTCTTCGTTTTCTCTCTCTTTCTCCTTCGTTTTTCTTTTTCAAAGATCATCTTCGTTCTATGGATTCATTGCCAGTGATGATATTAAATAGCTATTTAATATGATAGGGCATATAGCGGGATGAGAGATATGTAATTATTGGATATTGATAGACGTATCGATCTACGTGATCTTAGATCGTATTAATTCATTCGTCTGACGTTTATCTTATTTTTAGCTTGCTTACGTTTAACGTTTATATCTTTAGATGCATAGATAGATTTCTTTTTTCTTTCTTTTTTTCTTGCTCTTTTCATTCTTTTTCTTTTCTTTTCTTCTTCTTTTTTTTTTATTTGTTTTGTTTTTCGATTGCATGGAATCCGATAAAAATAACAGCGAATCCGACGTGCTTCGCGTTGGCTCGTTTGTTATCGTTAATACGATCTTTAATACGATTTAACAGCTGGTCCGAGATACACCCAGACGTAACGTCACATACCTTAACGTAAATATAGTTTTCACTGTCGAGTCACAGAGGAGGGATTCTATAAGCGAAGAATTTTTTGCTTACCTTCGGTACGGAGGATTTATAGTAAGTACTCCATTTTCTGATAGAAATGGGTACCATCGATCGTACGGTGACGCGGAAGACGCGTGGACGCGATACGAATGGGATGGTAGTAAGTACGAGTTTCTTATACTACCTACCATATGCGGCTTTGTTGTGTACCCTTTTTGCTAACATTGTCCGAGAACTTGGCATGAGTTTACGAAGCTCAGGATGGCACCCGCGAACGACGGAGTCTCTTCTGTTTATTGCGCACACTTTTGCGGTAACAAGATCACCGTCAGACATCGCACTTTGCTTTTGGAATACGACAGGACTCTCTTTACGGGTATGCTTACTCCATACTTATAACTTGAACTACCCATGAGATAGTGTGTGTAACGTACATTCCATATAAGATTTTTATTGGATTACTCGAACAAAAATATCTGGCTATTTTTCGTATAAATTCGTTGTGTCAAATCGGGGTTGACTTTGAAATAAGAAATAGAAATAGATTGAAGAAGGAAAGAGAAAGAGAGAGAGAGAGAGAGAGAGAGAGAGAGAGAGAGAGAGAGATGAGAATTTCATTATAGTATCATTTAAATTACTACCCGACTAGATGACTAGCTAGCTTATAGTCGTTGTTCGTAACTACAAATTCTCATGCAGCTATACAGAAAGGATTTGTACTTACCGACTACGGAGAATAGCTTACAAGTTGTGTGAATACCAGCGCGCAGAAAGCCCCTTTGCTAGACGGGACAAATACGTTGCCGAGCAAAGAGAGGAAAAGAGGTAGCAAAGGTAAATAGAAGAAGAAGGAGGAGATAGAGAGAGAGAGATAGATAGATAGATAGAGAGAGGGAGAGAGAGAGTGAGAGAGAGAGAAGGAGAAAGATATCGCGACTAGCCGGTGCTATACTCTGGAAAATAGCCTAATGATCGTATTGTGACCGTGCAGAATCGCCGCGAACCGTCTCTCGCAAGTACTAACACCGTTTGTTGTTTCACATTTATTTACCTGCAACACACGCACACCGTACACGCCTCTGGTCGGCCGTTCGATTCGTAAAACGCGGAGGAGACGACGTTAACGAGGACACGCGGATGCATTTATACGGCAGATTGACCGACGACAGCCGCCACTTGAGAGACAAACTCGTGCCACCGTAACGTAGGCACTTGCTCTTTCTTCACTTTTTAATGAGCTATTCACGAGGGACAAATTAATTTCGATTCTTCGACTTATCGATCTTCGACTTTCTTTTCTCAATAAACTTTGCTACATATAGTACAAATTATAGTAAAAATGATTTTTACTATTTATACCGTTTTCCTTTTTTTCTTTTCTTTTTCCTTTTTTCTTTTCATTATCAAACGATCATAGTAATATATATGATAGATATTGTATAGATAGACGAAGATAGAAGGTAAAAATTAGATTATCACATTATCATTAGTATATATTACATTTACAATTTATTATCATGGATAAAAGTGTTATGAGGAAAATAAAGGAGGACAAATCATGTAGACTTTTTTTTTCAATTTTTAATGTCGTAACCCTGCCAAATACAATAATAATAGTAATAGTAGCAATTAATAATAAAAATCATAATAATGATAATGATAATAACATTATCTAAAATATGTAACCATCATTTCGATAATAATAATAATTATCGAGTGGCGCGTTCCATCTAGATCGACACGATCCATATAGATTATGCCTACCAATGGATTCGCTTTTTGCCAGGATGAATTATATTTCCGTTAACTAGGAAACGCATAGTGTTTTATATTATTGAATATGCGCTTGATAATCTTACGTCGTCGAAATATCTTTAGGACTTTTTTTTCGTAAAAAAAGAACCGCCTCCAGAAAACGCGTTACGATATAATGTATATAAATATATAGATGTATGTATGTATATATTTATATAATTTCGTGCGTAATGCATTAGTATTTTTGCTATGATCTCCTTTCTCTCGCTAAGAGAGGGATAGAGAGAGAGAGAGAGAGAGAGAGAGAGAGAGAGAGAGAGAGAGAGAGAGAGAGAGAGAGAGAGAGAAAAGATTAAGAGATAGAGATAGATAGATAGATAGATAGATAGATAGAGAGAAGAGAGAGAGAAAGAGAGAGAGAGAGAGAGTGTGTGTGTGTGTACATTATACAATATTTCGTATCTTTCTTTCTTTCTATCTTTCTTTCATCCTCTTTCTTTCGTTGCAATAAATAAATTATCCAAATCAAGGACATCGATATCGATATAACAGTAATAAGATTATTACAACCACATTTACAATAAATCTATATTTGTCTATACTTATACGTTTATATATATATATTTTTTTTGGTTGTATAAATACATATGCATAATACATAACATACATATGTATGTATACAAACGTTTTTATTTTAATGCACTAACGGGATAATCTTCCCTGACGACGCGACAGAGACGTCGGTGAACGAGAGTAGCGTTAGAACGGTAGAAAGTATAAAGTTAATTTCAATGCAATCCTTTATACAGTGTGAGAGCTCGCGCGTAATATATTATTATTATTATTATTATTATTATTATTATTATTATTATTATTATTATTATTATTATTGTTATTATTATTATTGTTATTGTTATTATTATTATTTTTCTTTTTTAATCTTATTATTATTATTATTATTATTATTATTATTATTATTATTAATATTATTATTAATATTAATATTAATATTAATATTATTATTATTATTATTATTATTATTATTATTATTATTATTATTATTATTATTATTATTATTATTATTATTAACTATTGTTGTCTGTATCTACGTTCATATGTAACATATTCAATACGTAGAGTAAAATAGTTAGTGGCTCGCAGTCGTGATATCTTATCTTTTTTTCTTTTTTATCTTCCAAATTTTCCCTTCTCCATAATATTTTAACAATGAGTTCTTACTTTGTTACAGCTTCAGAGTGTTCTCATTCATTGATACGAATGTATACATTTGTTTGTTTCCTTAACGTCATGGGTTGCGTTCGTTCGGATGTCAATACGTAGATCGGAGTCATAGTATTTACATGTTTAAACATGTTAAAAGATAAATACATCTTCGCAAGATAACATTTCTTTCGTGAAAGTCAGAATTGATACGAACATATACTAACGTTGTTTATTTGTTTGTCTTTAAGATAGGTCGTTCGCCCGGGTATATATACGTACTTACATAATTCGAGTGACAGTACGCGTTTAGACGTGTTAAAGTAAGCATCGTAATAAGAAAGTAAAGTACTCATCACGTCAAATTTTCGAAAAGGCAAAAATATAGAAGGAAAATTTGGAATTAGTTTTATTCGACGCAGCTCATAATTTGTGTGTAAGTCCGTGCGAGATCTAAGAGCGCAGATAAGAGATAGAGAAAAAGAGATAAAGAGAGTGATAAAGTGAGAAAGAAAGAAAGAAAGAAAGAGAGAAAGAGAGAGAGAGAGAGAGAGAGAGAGAGAAAGAGAAATAGAGAAAGAATTAACTGGCCCCAATTGATTATATTTAATATACATATATATATATATATATATATATATATATATATATATATATATATATATATATATATATATGTAGTTATATCGAGAAAGATTATTCTAGATTATAGTTTTTTTCTTTCTCTAATTGTCCATCAACGAGATATATTCAACGGATAAATTTTACATATTTATTTACAATTATTGCTCCTCTATATTGGCTATTCTTATATTCTAATAGTTTCGTTTATTATTCGTCATGCAGTACACAATGCCATAGGCCATATAGTTTTGCCCATAACATCGATTAGGTTAAAGTCGTTCGTCGATCGAGCTGATACACGTGTAATAACGATTTTGCATTAGAATTGAATCGTCGTAATATCTTAATCAGGACAAAGAATTGAAGGGAGTGAAAGCATAGAGGAGCATATAGATATTTTTTTCACATCATAATAATACTTCATAATAAACGCAGTTTAACGTTATTTATTTATTTTTTTGTTTCTTTCAATAATTTGTGACTTTCGAAGGAGATCATTAGTCGATCATATCTCGACAAGAGGATTAAGAAAATGAATGAATTCTATAACGAATTCAGCTACGTCGATCGAACGGTGATATTCAAGGACAGGAGGTTGAATGGGTAAGAAGGGGATGTAAGCGAAAGGTAAAGAAATAGATAGAGCGTTGTAGAATAAATGAAAATAGAAAAAGGATGTTAAGAAGAGTGAGTGAATGTGAGAGAAAGAGAGAGAGAGAGAGAGGTACAGGGTGGCTGATTTTAAAAATCAATTACTTTTAAAACGTGTTTAGCTTGTAGTATTTTTTTACAATTCAAACAAAAAAAAAAAAAATATATATATATATATATATATATATATGTATATATATATATAGCAGGATAAGTTTCGAAAAAAAAATAATTAATTTTTAAGATCATCTATAGGAACTTTCGAACCACCCTGTAAATAAATAAGTCGTCTTTTTGTTTGTTTCATTTTACAAGATATACTACGTTTTATCTTTCCACGATCATTCAATTTAACCTACGATTCTCGTTCTTTCATTTTAAATAAGTTATTAGATGTTATAACTAAGCTTGCATCGCTACGTTTATTTTTTTTATATTTTATCATTTCCGAAATTCGTTTTTGTGTAATTGATCATTTTTATGATAATGCAGTTGTAATAGATTAACTTTTGTATGTTTTTCTTCTTCCTTTAATTTTTTTACTCTTTTTTTTCTTTCTTTTATCACAAAAAAGCTACGAGAAAAATATAGAATTGTGCATTTATATATATATGCACTAATATATAGATATAATTAATGGGGAAAAAATTAATATATATATACATATAAATATATGTTAATGGGGAAAATGATGCAATAATTATTTTGGTGTCATAGCGATGCAAAGGTTAGTAAAATTATTATTGTTGCATTCCTTAGATATAATAAGATTATATAGATTATTCGTATATGAAACTCTTTCTACCCTGCAATATTATAATTCGATGCATTTTTTTAATGCACGAACAAAAGTAAATAGTTAATATATTAACAATGAAATTTTTAATAACGAAGTTAACACGAACAATAAAATATAACGAATTTTAGGACGAATCTAGGAACCGTTAGCGAGATTTATTTCCAAAGAGGAAATCGAACGATTATATCTAACATTTTTTTTTTCGTTTTTGTATTAATATTAATTCGATTATTTTTTCAATAATCGAATCATCGACGATAATCTCTCATGATAATCAGCAACGAAAAGTGAATTCTTAGCGAATGGAATCTCGAAAAGGATCTCTCGACCGGTCGAACAACATATTTTAAGGCACTTGAAATGCTATATAATTTTTCCTTGGATCGGCCTTAGAAAGAAAATGAAAAATCGGACGGTAAATTTGAATCCTTTATTTTCTTGGCCACTCATCGATTCGACCGGCCGAGTTTTATTATATTAAATAGATCGAATAGGTCTCGCATTACCGTCGTGAAACATAAGTTGGCTCATTTTGCAGTGAACTTAATGCACGCGATCGTCATAGTACGTTGGAATTTTTTTCTCAGATTCAAGGGCGATCTCGTATTTGAAATCTTAAAGTGTAAGAACGAAGAAGATGAAGCAGAAGAAGAAAAAGAAGAAGAAGGAGAAGAAGAAGAAGAAGAAGAAGGGGTGGGAGGGTTGAAAGGGATCTACTTTATATACATAAGTAAGTGCACGACCTGGCGTGCGTTCGCGCGAGTAGTAGGAGAAAAAAAAATGATAATGATCAAGGATGGTGTCGGCGTGACGTCAGTATACATTTCTCATCGCCCGCACTGCGCTCAGATTACTGTCGGCTGTTCAAGCCCGAAGAAATTCCCTACAAGGAAGGTACAACGGTATCAGTCATCAAGATCGTAAAACGGCCTCTTGGGTGGCACCTCGTCCATTTTCAGATTGAATTTCGCGCGGACGACGATGCGAAAATTATTTACAAGCTACCCGGAGCGGCTAGAGAGAGAGAGAGAGAGAGAGAGAGAGAGAGAGAGAGAGAGAGAGAGAGAGAGAGAGAGAGAGAGAGAGAGAGAGAGACAGAGAGAGAGAGAGAGAGAGAGAGAGAGAGAGAGAGAGAGAGAGAGAGAGCTCTTCTTCTGCGTTTCGCGCTTTTGCATCCATCGACCAAGATGACACGCCCGGTCCTCGTGTCTCTACGATTAGCTTTCTTTAACGAGATCTATATCCCCAGGGTCCACGTATTTTACTACTACATACTACATATTTTATCCACCTTCATTATGGAAATTTTTAATTATAATCGTGCTCCGTGGGCGGAGGCAGGGGGAGGATGGAGGGAAATATTAACGACAGAAATAATGATAATAATAATGTTATATGCGAAGGAAAAATTAATCGTGACTCACCTATATATATATAGGATTTGGAAACTTTCGAAATTTGTATCAAGTATATTAATGATTATTTTTTCATTGGGATCTATTGGTATTGCTAATTTGAAATCGATGAAGATTCGATGTATTATTTTTTTGTAGGTATTTTTTCTCTTTCTCTCTCTTTCTGCTTTTTCTCTTTCCTTTTCTTTTTTTTACTGTTGTTTTCTCCTTTTCTCATTTTTTTTTTTTTTTAATTTTTTTTTTTGAAAAGCGTTAAGATTAGAACAGTTAGCAAACAAAATAACTTTTTCGAGTTTCGATGACAGATCGATCGACGAACTAGTAGACACCACGGTACAGCGAGTCACGAGGAGTGAAAGTTCGAGCACGATTTGCGACTCTCGTATCGAGAAGACGTTTAAACGCATACGAGTTGTGAAGATTTTGCCCGTCGTTCCTTCGGGCGAGGATTCGAAGGGTCGGATTATGAAAGGTGTACAAGCACGAAGATTCGCGTGACTTAAGGCACTAGCAGTAATACTTAAGGCCTAACGCAGCGTTCTCATCCTTAATCTTAGAAGGCACTATTACCTATCGGAATACAACACGTAACAATGTTAATTTACCATCGACCGTCGTACTCGTCATTATCATCGTCGTCGTCATAGTCTTCGTCATAGTCCCCGTCAGAGTCCTCGTCGTCGTTATCGTTATTGAATTTACGTATTGAACGTAATTAGCGTATTAGCGAAATAAAAAGGAAATCAATCCGTTTCGTCAACGTAACAATTGCAATCAGATCGAATCTCTTTCGACCAATCTTTTTATTCGATCTATCTTATTCATCCTCTTATCATCGAAATCTTTTATCTCTAAGCACAAAATAGTTGCGAGTAAATGCGTGCTGATTTGCGAGGTCCCGTGATATTTGCGATCCATAAGTTAGAAGCGCAAAGTCGAATGATCCCCCCATTCGAGTTTTATCTCTCTCGTGCTAAACGAAGCTGTTTAATTAGGCTTTAACGTCAAGGCTGCCGTTACCATTTATCCAAAATTATCGATCACTATCATCATTTAAGGATGCTGTCCGAAATTTTAAAATATTATTTCGTGATCATACAAAATTCTGATATGAGCGTCTCTTATCTTATATTACAATCGATTATTTAATTTTAACAATTTTAAACGCGTACGTATAAAATCCTTGCACCATTATTATTATTCTTTAGTATATTTTTTTTCCTTTTTTCTTTATATATATATATATATATATATATATATATATATATATATATATACATGTATATATATTTGGCACCTTGACGTGAGGCTATTAAAAATTATTCGTTCGACGAATTAACGCCTACGTCGTCCTTGCTCTTTGTTGTTAAAAAAAAAAAAAGAAAAAAAAATCCTTTCGAACGATCGAAGAGCGTACGACTAAAAAAAAATATATGTGTGTGTGTGTGTGTGTGTGTGTGTGTGTGTGTATATATATATGTATATGTATTGTATATATACGAAGAAGCATTGATTTAATGCCACGACGATATTGCTTAATGCACTTATAATACTGACCTTTTAGAATGTCTTCTAATCTTTCGTTCAACGAAACGCAAATGATTGTCCGTTTCTAAACGCGAAATTCTTTGTGCATAATGATCGATGTTATGTATTATAGTTAATAGCCTATCGATGATATTTTTTTTTGCAAATTTTTCTCTTTAAACATTGCGAACAACTTCATTTCATTTTCGCTTTTCTCTTTTCTCATCTTTTTCTATTTTCTGTTTTTTTTCCTTCTTCTTTTCTTTTTTTTTTAACCTACGTCAATATAATTTAATATCAGCATAACTTTAACTCGTTCTACTCGTCGTGAGTTTACGACGACAGTGTCTCGAGAAACGAGAACGTAGGAGATTTCGAAAAGGAACGAAAAAAATAGAAAAGAAGAAAAAATAAAAGGCCGAATTGATACGGATAAAATTGAAAAGCGATGTGCAATATGTAACTACGTAGGAATTTGATTGGCGAGAGAAACAAAAATCGAATGGGAAAATATTTTTAATATCGGAGTTGGAAGGGAAAAAGAAGAAAAAAAAGAAAAATATGTCGAGAAGTATGATAATCATCGCGTGAGATAATCGTCGTGTTGAAAGGCGATAGAAACAGAGAGATAGATAGAGACAGATAGAGACAGAGAGATAGATAGAGAGAGAGAGAGAGAGAGAGAGAGAGAGAGAGAGAGAGAGAGAGAGAGAGAGAGAGAAAGAAAGAGAGCGAGAAGAAAAAATAAACAAAATGAGAAAAAAAAGAAAGAAAAGAAAACCAAAAGGAAAGAAAAAAATATAGAAAAAGCTCTAAGTCTAAACGAACAATCTAAAAATTCTTCAACTTTCTTCTCTAGTTTCATTCGGCCAGGCTTTGTCGTTCATAACGAGACGACTATCCTAAATTAGTGCCTAAGCTCTTCAGGTCCCGATGTAAAAATCGTCGTTTCCGTCGTCGTAGTCTTTAAATATTGATTTTTTTTTCTTTTTCTTTTTTTTTCGGTGGTTGCGTCGATGAGTTTGAGCTCAACAGCATCCTTTTCTTCTTTCCGCTATCCACCGTTCTTTTCTCTCTCTCTCTCTCTCTCTCTCTCTCTCTCTCTCTTTCTCTCTTTCTCTCTTTCTCTCTTTCTCTATTCTTCTTCTCGTAATATCTATCTTTGTCATGTTCGGACGTTAGCTTATCAGTGCCTCTTCATATGTAGAGAGAGATGATCGCTCCGAGAAAACGATCGCTGACAAAGATGGCACTTGAACGGTTTTTGGCCGGTGTGTTTGCGATAATGTCTCGTAAGCTCGTCCGAACGTGCAAACTTCCACGTGCAACCTTCCCATGTGCATTGATACGGTTTTTCTCCTGTAACAGATAAGAAGAAATGAGCTTAACACGAGATTATCTATGCGACAATAATAATAATAATTTATAACGTCTCTGTGTGTTATCATTTTAAAAGAGAATTCTCGTTTACCGTATCAGTAGTTATCTACCAACAATTAAGTAAATCAATATTGATAGATATTAATTATTAATTAAAGTACAATTATTATTATTATTATTATTATTATTATTATTATTATTTAATTAAAAGTTCTTATTTTATATAAAATAAGTTTCGTATATTTATAAATTTTGGATAGATTTATAATATCTATGTGATAAGGAACAAGAGAGATAATAATCAAAACGGAGAGCGAAGAGAGAGAGAAAGAGAGAGAGAGAGAGAGACAAAGAAAGAAAATCGTTGGTGTCGTTTTCACACCCAATTATTGCAAGCGGAGGTCGTTCCTTTCGCGTTATTCTTGCGAGCTCGTAGCTTCGTTTCGCAGCGTGATTGCTCGTAACGCCGTGAACGTCCTTGTAACCATCTTCATGGCCAGAGTCGGTTCTCTTATCGTAGAAGACCCTCTTCTTCGAGAGACGTCTCGACAGCTGTCGCACGTTGCAACGACTCTGGATCTCGTACAGAAAACCGCCCATCGCTCTCCTCTATTGTATGCAAGTCACCACGTTGGATTTCTCGATTCAAGACGAGAGAGATTACAGAGAGAGTAAGAGAGAGAGAGAGAGAGAACGTTCTCTTTCTTTCCTTCTCTCTCTCTCTCTCTCTCTCTCTTGTTGACCATCCGCCCGGACGTGGAAACGATCACAACTCGATGACGCAATTGAAAATCGACTTCAGTCCTTCCCAGTGAAGACCACGACCAAGACGAAGCGTGGATAATCGAACTTTACGATCGAGAATGCTCTGCCGATCCCATTAAGCGCTTTCGACTAAACGCGGATAATGGCTGATCGAAAGACGGAGAGAGAGAGAGAGAGAGAGAGAGAGAGAGAGAGAGAGAGAGAGAGAGAGAGAGAAGAATAGAAAGAGGTGGACCACGAGACGTGCCATCGAGTTTCTATCTCGAGTTTGATCACTATATTTACACCATCTTTCTTCTTCGTCTTCCTACGAAATTTTTATGTTTTCTATTTAGATAAAAAGAGAGAGAGAGAGAGAGAGAGAGAGAGAGAGAGAGAGAGAAAGAGATTTAAATCGAACGTTTTAAAATCCGAACGATCATCGAGCGAAATATTATTATGTAATTCTTTCAGAATGTACAAACGACTAATGACGGGGAAACAAGTCGTAGCGTCGTTGCTTACGTAATTTTGAGTAATTAGTCCATTTACGAGTGACGCGAGCGGACACCCACACAATCTCTCTTTATTTTCTCTTTCTCTCTTTCTTTCTTTCTTTCTTTCTTTCTTTCTTCCTCGTGAATGTAAAAGCGTACGGTACGTTAGATCGAAACGCGTATGGTGCCAAGTATGTATATACCGTCGGAACAGACATTAATTCTAACATTATTAATGCATTTTGATCACATTTTTCCATAGAAGCGTTACGTTTATTGCGCCATAGATTAACGCCGCGTTACCTCGCCAAGCTCATTAGTTAACCGTAACGACGAAGTTAGCCACTCATTTGTAACGTCGATTCATGACCGCATAATACGTGCAAGTATAGCGAATGCACTATACCTTTACCAAGCTGCGTTCCTTCACAATAGAACAGATACGTTTTTGACGTTGTATAATAGCTCGCTCGTCTTCCATGGGGGAAAATGCGATCGCTTTAGGCTTATTATTGTTATTGTTATCGTTATCGTTATCGTTATCGTTGTTGTTCTTATTGTTATTGTTATCGTTATCGTTATCGTTATCGTTTTGTTGAATCGTCCTCTCTTTATATATTTCCGTTTACATTTTGAACTCGGGCTTTTTAAGTATTCCCTATATATTCTCTTTTTCTTCCCGATGACATTTACGAAGTGACGATATGAGCCCTCTTAACAATTCTCCGTTAATAATCGTGACGTCTAGTACTGACGTACGGAATTGGGGAATGATTTTTATAAAATTTTCGTGATCCTTCCGTAATATCATTTTACGAGCTCTCTCGCCGATTTTTCAACGAGATTAATTAAGAGCCATCCTTGATCGTTCATTTTAATGAAGGCTTCGACATAATTGGCCACCATTAACGCCTCCAATCCAAGCTAATTACTCGTTTTCAAATGTACTCTGTCTGTCTGTCTGTCTCTCTCTCTCTCTCTCTCTTTCTCTCTCTCTGTCTATCTATCTTTTTTTTTCTTTCTTCCTTTTTTTTCTCTTTCGACAGAAGGTAAAACGTTCAGCTCGTTCCTTTGTGATAAAAAATTTATATCATTTGAATTTTTGAGTAAACGATGAACGAAACAAAAGTGTTGTTCATATTATCGAGATGAATTGAAATTGCTTTTTCGTTATCGTTAGGACGTTGTTAGGATCGTTTCCAATCGAAACAAGAGAGAGAGAGAGAGAGAGAGAGAGAGAGAGAAAGAGATAAATCCAGAGAGAAATCATTTCGAAATATCATCTAATATTTTTTGAAGCATCGACGAAAGCTACTCTGATTTAATTATTATCATTTTATCATCGAAAGTATATAATATTGCAATTCGTTTTCCTTATACCATGAATTTTCTGTCCACATGAAGCATAATTATCGCGTCGCGTCGCGTCTCGTTGAGAAAAAAGAGGAGAAGGAGAAAGAGGCTGAGTTGACTGTAAATGACGATGCGTGCCGTTAACGAGGGACGAATCGACTATATTTATGAGGTTTAATAGGATAAAAATGTAAATCTGACAATGAACGTTACTTATTGCTCTTTAAACAAAGTTGTGAAACTCGCGTGATCTTTTTCTCGCTTTTCCAATGAACTTTATTCTCTCTCTCTCTTATTTTTTTCTTCTCTTTTTTCTCTCTCATAAAAAGCAACGCATTTATGCATAACATTCTAGCAAATAACAGGATGCGTATCTCGCGAGGAATGCATAATAGTTTTAGTCATAGGAATAATGAGATTTTGAAAGAGGTATGGGGAACACGGAAGAACACGAGCGTACAACTTATACGAGATCTTTCTTAATCGATCTTGAACATTCGTAGAATCTAAGAATTTCAATGTAGAATCATTGTCATTATCAAATATTTTGTTTAGCGTTAGATCTAATACAAGTTAGATATAAATAATATTTTTGAAATATGTTCTAAAAACGTTGAACGATGTCGAGACTCGTGTTTAACAGGAAATATCATTAACTTCCCTGGTGGTATTGTAGATAATCGCAGCCTTCGGTCATATCGCACAAGTGCATTGTTAATAGTAGACCTGTCAGCAAGAATTCTAAGTAGAAGCGCAGTTCTCTCTTCTTATATACGCGTAGTATTCGTGCTTGGTATTGAGTAGATACCAACATACATCGACATATCCTTTGATACAAGGAACCAATTCACGGTCGTTGTCAAGTTTATGCCAAGGCTAATTCGCTTTAATTGATACATAAGATCTCACTAAACCTTATCCCTGTCTATCAAGGGTCACGCTAACCTTCTGCCATCGAGTTCTCCTTTTTACACTCAGCGATTCTCAAATTTTACTCGTACGGAATAATTTGAAAACGTTAAGAACGGCCATTAGGATAATTCAAAGAACAATCTAATGAGGTATTATATCGAGATTTTCTTCGAAGGTACGGCTCGTGTCGTTAAAAAAGTAATCAAAAAATGGAGGTTGTATCCGTTATCGATATAACATGTTTAGCCAAATTGATAGGATCGAAGCACCTCTGACATTGTACGTTCATATGAGGATGTACCATTATAAATGTTACAAACTTTATTCAGATAGTGTCATGAACTGTGTTTAATTTACGTCGTATCGGAAGATGTAACGTTAGTGGAACATTTTAAAGAGCCATTAGTTATTACACATACACGTGCCTCTTACAAGATTCCTATGCGGCGTATTTATTTATATTATAATTATTATAATTTAATTCCGCGTCAATTTTTATTTAAATCTTCTTTTTTCTTTTCATATTCTCGGAGACTTCGGTTAAGAAAACAAAAATAAAAACGATTTCTTCACCGTAGGAGGATATATATATATATATATATATATATATATATATATATATATATATATATATATGTTATTCAAAAAGAAATATGGTAAGCACAAGATATGATGGAAGAGATCACAGCGATCAACGAATTGGCATTTCCCACATCTTCTGAGAGCCGAGCAAATGCAGAAGGTATATAGAAGACCGAGTAAAGATATAACATTCTCACTCTGCGCTCTCGGTATAATGCAATGGTGTTAGAATGACGAATAGACGGTAGTTTACACGGTAAGAAGCGCGCAGTGCGCACTCGTTGAAACAATTATTATTCTCCGGGTCGCTTTACAACGGTGGTTTGAGCTTGGTATATCAGGTTCTGGCCTTTCGTATCGAACGATCACGACGTTGGACTTTCGTAAAAGTAGTAAAGTAATAATGCCCGTTTCCTAATGTGCAAAGTAATCAAAAATTTCATTACTATACTTTGGATGTCATCGTAGCGATTCGTTGAGTTTCTCTCTTTCCTTTTCTTTTCCTTTATCTTTATCTTTTTTTTTCTTTCTTTTTCTAATTTCTCTACACGAAGTAAGTACCTATAGCTGCAACTATATATATATACATATCTCTCTCTGTTTCCTTCTCTCTCTCTCTCTCTCTCTCTCTCTCTCTCTCTCGCTCTCTTGTAGTAAATTAAAATAAAGCAGCGAGAGAAGAGAAGAGAGGATAACGAGACGAAAAAGGAAGGTAGGATCAAGGTTAATTGTCGGAGGTTGAGCACCGCGATTTCCAACGAGTCGTGGTCGAAGCATGGACCAGACAAAAGATCCTGGTTCTCACGACCACGCCCTCTCCACGCCGCCTCTGCCCTCCTCTGGATATAGCAGCGATGCCTTCACGAAGGTACCTATCCACCGGAAATTCTTCAAGTACGAGCTCTTTCGACGTTCTGTATATACAGAACATATGTGTGTGTGTACACATACACATATATATGTAGTATAACGATCCACGGTAACGAAGAGTGTGCGACCTCTTTCAGCTTCTTTTTCTCTCTCTCTCTCTCTCTCTCTCTCTCTCTCTTTCTTTTTCTTTCGTGACACGATAATAAATGGTCATGTATGTACGAGTTGCTCTTCCTTCAAGAAACACCAGCACGTTTAGAAAAGAAAACCTTTAGCATACCCTCCTCTTGTTGTCACTCTTTAAGAATTTCGAATTTCAATGGATTTTAGATCGATCTATAAGAAATTCACTATTAACTTACCGGTGTGAGTTCTCTTGTGTGCCTTCAGGTGGGAACTTTTAGTGTAGACCTTGTCACAGCCTGCTACGTCACATCTGTGAACCTTGCGCCTTTTCAACGCGTCGCCGCACTCACTGTCGACCCCTAAACTAGCTCCGTTTCCACCCACGCCGGCATTGGCTCTACTGCTCAATCCGATGCCACTCGCCAACGTTGGTCGTTTGTGAAAGACACTGAAATCAATTAAATGACGACAAATTTTCACTTTTTCTTTTCCCTCGTATTTTTCTTCCCTTCTTTCCCCCCCCCCCCCCCTTCTTCTTCTTCTTCTTCCTTTCTCTTTTCCATTAAAAGCGATTGTTTGCTACATTATCAGTTCTATCGAAAAATTTCAAGATATATTACGAGATACATTGTGGCATTAATATGTGATTAAGAGTGCAATGTTTTTTTCTCTTATGATTCTTTGATCAAAAGAAAAAAAAAGAAAGAAAAAAGAAAACAAAAAAGAAGAGGAAGAAGAAGAAAAATTTTTTGGTAGGCATATTAAATATTATGGAAGAACTTTTGTCCTTGAAAATATCATTAACAAAAGAATAAAACTCGCGAAGGCTGTCAAAAGAGGAATAGCATTAATCATCGATATGGATAATTGTTGTTATCTTCTGAAAAGCGAGGACACACAACGGTCCCCTTCTCATTCGACATTCTCGATTCATATCCATATAAGATCGAAAGGTCGAATCTATAAGACGAGAGGACGATGAAGACGACGACGACGACGACGACGACGACGACGACGACGACGACGACGACGACGACGACGACGACGGCGACGACGACGAAGACGCGTTCGAATCGTTCGCTTCTTGGATGATTCACGCGACCGATTTGTCGAGGAGGGGATCGGCGAGAAAGGAAGAGCACATAAATTATCCTCGAAACCGGTTAGCCGGTTACTCGCCACCGTCCTTCTTCTTCTTCATCTTCTTCTTCTTCTTCTTCTTTCTTAACTTTCTAATCATTTTCCCAGTAATTACGAATCCGCTCGGATCCGATCGGATCGGATTGGATCGAATCGAATCGAATAGAATCGAATCATCTTCGATTTCAATCGAACCTTTTTTAGATTTTGCATCGTCAACGTGGAAAAGTGTCATTAGGATCCGTACGTTGATCAGTTAGGAGGCAATCATCAATTGAAATCACGATGTTAAGTTTTGATGTACAATCAATGAGAGAAGTCTCGACAGCCGGTGTCTGTCTCTCTTTGAAAAGAGTAGAACCTGACCGCTTCACGAAGAGATCACTTTTTCAAACGCGTTCTTGTCCAAGCATTCTTTTAACTATACGCCACGCGGTATTGCCAGTGACGTTGATTATGACGAGCGAACGCGCGATTGGCAAAAAATCTGACGACCGATTTCAATTCCGATATGGTGGCTACGTGGCGACGTCTTCATCTTTTCTTTTACTCTTTCTCTCTCTCTCTCTCTCTCTCTCCCTCTCTTTCTCTTTATCTCTCTCTCTCTCTTTCTTTCTTTAAATTGACATAGAATTTTTTTCTTTCACGTGTTTTACAAGGACGAACGAAAGATATGTTAAAAAAGAAAAAAAAAAAAAAGAAAAAATCAACGTCAGTATCGGAGTTTCATGAAAAAAACAAAAAAAAAAAAGAAGAAAACAAGCACGATAAAATCGTGAAAAGGAATTTGGATGTTGTTAATATATACCGATAATCGATTTCTCTTAGATCTTTAATATTAGTTCAGTTCAGTATAGTTTAGTTCGATTCGGTTGACGAGAATACAGCTTCCGCGTTGTTTCATCGTCGTTTCTTCTCACCCCGTTTACGAGTATATAAATTCAAGGGTATAGCCAAGCACCGAACAATTAAGCGAGCGTGACGTTGTTACGTTCCACTTCGTAGACCTATAATATTCAATAGGATTTACGATTTGTTATCAAAACCTATCAAATAACGCAAAATGTCTTCGACGAGATTATTCGTTTTATTAAGATCGAATAATATTTCTTTGGTTATGTGTGTGTGTGTGTGTGCATGTGTGCGTGCGTGTATGTGTGCGTGTATATGTGTATGTCTTTTTCTCTGCTGTATGTATGTGTGTGGCTGTCTGTTTTTTTCTTTTCTTCTTTTCCCTAACAGTAAAAGTAAGATTATTGAAACAGCCTGTTGGTAGGACAAATATATATTAAGGCTAATCGATGAAATGCAAGACAGCAGAGTTTCTTAGCAAATACAGTAGTCATTTTCAAAGAGGAAGAAGGAAAAGTTGTCTCGCCACACTAACGTTGCGTTATTTTACGAGCCGTCGAATATATAAAGGACACCCTCTGTGAGTCGTTTCTTCGTTGAACAGTCAAAGAAACCTTTTTTGGCTGAACAATAAGAGGAATTCTCGAAAGAGATTTTAGCTTTCTTCTTCTCACCCTCTTTTATTTACTTCCTTCCTTTCTTTCTTTCTTTCTTTCTGTTCTTTTTCCTTTCTTTCTTTCTCTGTCCTTTTTCGTAAGTTTATGAAGTCGGTGTAATCCAAGAAAGAAAAAGCAAGGAAGAGAGAGAGAGAGAGAGAGGGAAAAGATGAGACAAGGAGCGTTGGTATCGAACTCGTTCGATCAATCTTATCTTGACGCTTGGTACTCCAGTGGGACCTGTTTTTTGGTATGGCCAGGGCGAGATCATCTAGATCCGCTTTCGTTTCACAAACGTCCGCACGAAACGTTACAAAAACGGTGAATTCGTGTTGCTTTCTCCCCTCTCTTTTTCTCTCTCCCTTTCTCTCTTTCTCTCTCTCTCTCTCTCTCTCTCTCTCTCTCTCTCTCTCTCTCTCTCTCTCTTCTCTCTCTCTCTCTTTTTCTCGGGAATCTCGATATAAGGAAGAAAGTTTCGTTGAAAGAGATCCGGACGATGACCGACCCTGACTTTGGAATTCGCTACGGATTTCGAATCGTTAATGGATTAGTCGGTCAAAGTTCAAATTTTATTCGAATCAATAGAAATAAATTTACACGATCTCGAGACAACCACCATCGATCAGTTTCATTCTTCTTATCCCATAAAATCGAGTGTAACTGTGCCGTTACCATTGACGCGTTCGATATATTATAATTTATATAGTTTAATCGTAAAGGTTGACATATCGATATTTTCATAGATAATAAGATAAGTACGATACTCGGTAGTTCTCTTTTAAGATAGTTCTCTTCTTGTTTATTAGAAGCATTGATCAATAGTTAACTTACATATTAGTTTTAAAAGAATTAGATATTTCTTTGTAGATAGAGAACGAGAGAGAGAGAGAGAGAGAGAAAGAGAGACTTATATCCACCCCTTGTTTCAAGGTACTCGATCGAGAATCGCGAGAACCGGATAAGCTAATTTACAGCGCGCGATAACTCCGTTGGGACGAGTACAGGGACGATTCGAAAGCCGCTTAATTGGACGAAGGTTATAATAAGATCGCTGGTAACATGCGCTCGGGCACGTTCCCGACGAAGGATAGCCGCCACTCCCTGTAGAAACTCTTTTCAAGGTGACGCGTATGTACGTATGTACGTACGTACGTAAGTACGTACATACGTACTTACCTACCTACCTATCTACCTTCCTACCTACCTACCTATGTATCTACCTACTACGTACCTTCGTGATCCTTCTTTTCTTCTTTTTGATATCGTCGTAAGATCCAGTGCTCGATTCACGAATGCAAACTTGCCCGTTCGAAATTACTTTTGATCGATATCGTTTCTCTTTCTCTTTCTCTCTCTCTCTCTCTCTCTCTCTCTCTCTCTCTCTCATGCTTCCTTTTTCTCTGCCTTCATTTGAATGGCTAACTACGAAAATGTAACCAAGCTAAGAATCTTTTCGAATGATCTTATTTCCAGGTTGTACGTCAATACGATCTATGTCGCAGGATTTATTCTATCTAATTAATTGTAACACAGTGAAAGAATTGATTTAAGCCTTTGAAATGAAATTTATTTAAGAGAGCTAAGTAACCATTTACTACTTGCTAACGTTTATCGTATGCAAGAAATAAAGAGAGATAGATAGAGAGAGAGAGAGAGAGAGAGAGAGAGAGAGAGAGAGAGAGAGAAAGAGAGATACGATTATCGGACAATTTTTCATTCAGACTGAACGAGCCGACAAGACGAGCTAATAGATACACGGGAAGATGAAATAGCGGAGTATATTTGTGGCAAAGCGGTTCTCCTTCTCGATGGGGGGTGCTCGTATGCGGGTATCGAGAAGATACGTTTATGTTTATGCGCGTGCGGAAAAAGGGAAAGAGAGAGAGAGAAAGAGAGAAGTAAGGGTGAGCAAAGCGTCGTGATTTATACTTGCAGCGAAGTATAACTATCGTTATCGGTCGGAGCTTAACGGCATCGGATTGAATCACCGTGGTAGAAGCGTCAGAGAAGTCAAAAGTCGAATGAAAGATGTTAACGTTAACTTTACTTCGTTGGAAGATAATGAGAAGACGATATTATTTTTATTATTTAACGTGAACTCGAATCGAGACGATGATTTTTTGTTTTTAACTGATGGAACTTCGCTTAATTGTCAATCCTATTCCAAGACTTTATTTTGAGGGACGATCAAAGAAACGAATGTGTGATAGGGATTTGTAATATTAAGAAGAAGAAAAGTACAAGGAAATGGAGAAAAGAATGAAAGAAATGATGAAATCGTGAAAATATACATACCTACTCAAAAATACACGTACACACACACACACATATATATATACACACAGTACTGTTTGTTAGCATAGGTATCACGATATTACAATGTTTTCTAATCATCTCGTTACCCAGCCCTTCATCATCTCAATTCTTTTTCTTGTTTTTTCTTTTTTTTTTTTTTTAATGAAGGACAAGAGTAAGCCTCTTTCTCTCTCTCTCTCTCTCTCTCTCTCTCTTTCTCTCTTTCTTTTTTCTCTTTTTCTTTTGACACCAAAGTCAAGCTCGTATAACCTAGAAGAAAGAGAGTGAGAGAAAGAGAGAGAGAGAGAGAGAGAGAGAGAGAGGGAAGATTTACAGCGAGTGTATGATCTTGTCTTATTATCGCTGGACGTTGCTTATACATTCGATGAAATATGCTGCGCTACGTAACGATCGAGGATTCTATAGCTAAGTGAACGAGTCAGGATATCCTGCTGTTTTCGACCGATTCAAAGATGGATAATAAAGTCGGTCTTTTTGGCTGATCATATTTGACTGACACACGTACTTATTTACTTATTTACTTATTTACTTACTTACTTATTTATTTATTTTAATGTTTATTTGTTTGTTATTATTTCCCGAGTTTTTCATTTTCATTGGTGTATTGTGCCATTGAAATATTTTTGCAAGTATTATTGGTTCAATGAAGAAGAAGAAGAAGAAGAAGAAGAAGAGGAGGAGGAGGAGGAGGAGGAGGAGGAAGAAGAAAAAAAAATAATATAACTCACAGAGATGCCTCCTTTATCCTTTGCAAAGCGAGAAGTGCTGCAGGGGATGATACGAATACTGGGTCGGGTGGTTCCATAACGCAAACGGCTACGTCCCTTTCTCTTTCCCTTTCCCTTTGTCTCTCACGATCGCGATCTCGTTCTCTCTCTCGATCTCGCGTTTCTCTCTCCCTGATCGCACTCTCCCGTTCCTGTTGTCGTTCCCTCTCATTCTCGGCAGTCCTATCTCGTCCTCTTTCGCGTTCCCTCTCTCGTGTCCTCTCTCTTTCCCGATCTCGTTCCTGTTCCCTTTCCCATGCTGCTTCTCCCAATGATGGCAACGTTGGCGACACTGTAAACAAAAGAAGAGATTCGTGTCTCGATTTAGGTTCTAATAAGGTCAATAAAGAAAAAAGAAAGGAAATACGGAAGAGCAAGAATTATAATAATTCAACGTGATTAACGAAGGCGAAGGATGATAATTTATTTGAAACGATTTAACTTCGTTACTTTTTGTACGTGCGATCGATGTTGATGCCGTTCTTTAAAAGATCGTATCGAGCAGGAAAGATCGAAGATCGAAGGTCGAAACTCTTGGGAAACGACGGACAACCTTTCGCGGATAAACGGGCTACATAAAACGCGGCTCGTTGCGAGGCACACGCAGCAGGTCGCTGACAAGCTCCGAGCAACCGAAGACGTTTCCACAAATCATTCGACGACGAATCACGTAACGCGTCATGATCTTCGATAGATATGGTTTTTCTTTCTTTTTTATTTTTTTTTATCTTCTTCTTCTCCTCCTTCCCCGTATTTCCGAAGGACTCGTCAGAAATTTTAAAAGCTTTTCGATCTGTTTATCATCTCTCTTTAATATATATATATATATATATATATATATATATATATATATATATATATATATATATATCTGTAATTATTTTTTTTTGTTCGTTTCTCTTTTCTACATATATCCCAATCGTATATTTCTCAGGTAGAATTAGCGGGGACAGGTTGAGCATTAGAAAAGTATTTAATACGGCAGTTAGTCATTAGACTAGCATAAATATCCTATTAATAATCAAGTCGATTTTTAAGGATTAGAAAAGCTTTAGTTCGTGCTCAAGGTGCTGGTTTAAATCTATGGTGTATTAAAAGAAAATCGCTTGCGTTAAAGTGGCGCTGTTAATTCAATGTCAATTAGTCGATTCCATGGAGCCGATAATCGATATTAACGTTTGGCATGTCTGTCTTAAGTGCAAAGGTCCCTTTCCTTAAAGGTTTTAGGGCCCTTAAAAGAGTATATTATAAACCGTTAAGCATACGAAGAAATTCTTTAGCGATCTCCGAACGTCATTGGATTGTTACTTTGAGCTTGCCACGGTAGAACGATATCTTCTTGCTTGGTGCTTACAACGTGCGCGTGGTACAAGAGGCATGTTAAACGTCCATGACATTACTGTTACTAATTAATACTCCTGGTCAATAGATTGGCAAGTAGCGTTCATGCTAGGAGGTTACCGATATGTTAAGCCTTTGCTACATAGCGAACGATAATCTATTGACTATCAGAGACTCGCTTTAATTTTAAAGTAGAGACGCGTGCGCCTCTCCGATCTTCGTCCAAGTCCACGTCTAAGTACGGTGCCTCGTCGTGATCGTTATAAAATTGTTATTTCTAAGGGACTACCTCATTACGCGCTAATAGTTCCTTCGCCATGCTAAATTACTCGAGTATGTAATTAGTAAACACGTAATCGGCGGCTATCCTTTATAGAGGTATTCGTTACTTTGTTATCTTCTAATTTTCATGCTCGATGAAAGATAAAAAAGAAATGAAAACAAAAAATTTATATATATATATATATATATATATATACACATATATACGAATCTATATACCGTGAATATTTCATTAATATATCGCATTCGTATTTTCATTGTCGTTACCAAAGGACAACGATTACCGAAGTAGAATCCATAAGATGGCATGTACCGTTGCAATCGGTTTACGAATTAAGTAGTACGCGATACGCTCGAGCAAGCTAACGGGATTAAGAGATAATCGATTTTGGAGAGAGGAACGATCATTTATGGCCGAGTCGAGCATGCGATATTGCGTAACGCGATACTGGCACGCGAGTTTTCCCGTCCGTCGTGAATCAACAGGGTGGAGATTTATGTAAACACGCGAACCGTCTCGACGCGAGCATGAACAGACGCACACGGACATATAGTTTCATTTCGACAATGATGGGATAGGTAGGGAGAGGGGGGCAGGGGAGTGTCGAATATGAATGACCAAAAAAAATTTCAATCGCTAACGGTCACGAGGAATTTTCAATTATCTATATATTTCATGAACCTTTGACGATACATTCGAAACGAATTTGTAGTTGCAATTAGTCGTTCAATTAATCGATCCTTCGAAGACAAGTCGCTCATTCACCTTCGCCATTCATCGTCATCATCACCCTCTCCTCCAGGCATCATCTCGTTAGAGCCATTAACACAACTCTCTCTCTCTCTCTCTCTCTCTCTCTCTCTCTTTCTCTCTGTCTTTCACTCTTTCTGCCTATGACCGAGCACTATGATCTTCGCTATCTAATGGATGTCGGACTCATCCGAAGATTCTGACGGGTCTTCTCTTCTTCCGAAGTTCAACATCGTGTCCTCCTTTTTCTTTTTCGACTCGCCCACGCCAAGAACGAAGTGTACCTCAAGCATTATCGCTAATAACGTGGACTTACTATTCACTATCTCTTTTTCTCTCTTTTATCGTTCACTGTGCCTGACACGGACGTACTATGATCGAGCGAGCTTAGAGTCAAAGGCCATACGTAATTGATAATGTTAAATGCTGAGGTTAATCCGCCGATTTATGAGCAAAGTATGTAGCGTGAATTTTTCTAATTCACCAATTTGAGGGATAATCGGTTGACGCTAATGGACCGCTGCCAAGGATACCTGCGTGAAGAAACATAGGAAGGAAGGAAAAAGGAAGGAAAAAGGTAGGAAGAAGGAAGAAAGGAAGAAGAAGAAGGAAGTTGTAGGATAAAGGGAGATAAGTGGGTGATCAAGAGAGAGAAAGGGGGAGAGAGAGAAGGATGAAAGCGTACTTTACGTGCTCAATAAGAAATAAAACACATGGCTTAGCTAATCCATGGGAAGAAGAGGATGAACCAAGTGGGAGGAGTTGAACAAAGAGAAACAGGGAGAGAGAGAGAGAGAGAGAGAGAGAGAGAGAGAGAGAGAAAGAAAGAGAAAGAGAATAAGTGAGTGAGTGAGTGAGTGAGTAAGAGAGATAGAGAACGAGTCTATATCCGTTCTTAGCTGCGTCGTGCACTTTGACCCCCATGGAGAATATTCGTATCGGTCTGCTAACGGTATGCCAAGCGGAACTATTGTACTCGAAGACGATACACGCTCGATTTAAACTCACGATTGTAAAGGAGAAACGATGGATTTAAGAAAAATTTTTCGACTCTTCGAAAATAGAAATTAGAAGGTAACCTGTTGCGCTGCATCATCGATTATCAGGATGTATATATATATATATATATATATACATATATATATATTGTAAGGAATCTAAGTCGTTCTTATACGTGACTAGAAAGAAGTAAAGAGAGAAAGAAAAGAGATAGATAGATGATATATATATATATATATATATACACATATATAGAAAGAGAGAGAGAGATAGTTTTACGTTCACGTTCTCTCTTTTCTCGTTTCTCCACCTTCGACTCGTCGATACGTGAGCACGAGTAAGCGCACGTTAAGTGGGTGGACGTGCCACCCGTATCGTGGAACTCGTTAGACGTGAGTTTTTAATTAAGTTTCCGGTTTAACGAACAAAATGAGGATTAGTCGGCGATCCGCCTTCAACCAATTAATCCTAGATTATTATTTCTCATCGTGCCGGACCAAGGCACGGATCAGGATTTATCGCGCGAAATAACAGGTACCAAGCGTGTTATGACTAAGACCATGCCGATTTACGTTCTAGTAAGTAATAGATATTCCGATGGATAAAAATTCGTCATTACCGTCGGCTTCTTCTTCTTCTTCTTTTTTCGAAAATTATGCTTGAAATTAATTAGCAAGCTTGTATAAGAAGACTTGCCAACGTATTAACGTTGTCTTTTATAATAATTAAAAGCCACCTCTTTTACGTTCCTTGTGTTAATTGCAAGTTATAGTGGAAGCATACATACATACATATATATATATATGTATATATATATGTATATATATATGTATATATATATGTATATATATATGTATATATATATATATACATATATATATATATATATATATATATATATATATATAAATATATAAGCCTTTAAAGATTTTAATCGTACTCAACGTTTTCATGGAATGTCTTAATTATCATTTTCAATACTGACGTTAGGATACGAAATAAAGAAGCTTTGTAAATCGAATCGTATCATCAGGCTCATCGATTCGAAACTACCTAGAGTACCGTTTATGTTTCTTGGAAGAGTTTCGATAAACGGCAAGTAAACCAACGAGAGTTCTCCTGCGTAATCACAAGGAGGGATCCAGTGTGGGACGATGTTCACTGGTGAGGGCCGAATAAGACGTTAGCATAACTTGCACGGAATTGATCTGCAAGCGGGCATAATAATTCATTCATGGCCCGGGAGGTATCAGGATGGAAGACGTCAAGAAAATTCTTTAAAAACGACGTCGACTGGTTTCTGATCTGTAAATCGATATGTAATTATAGTGTTTTATATATCTACGTTTTATTTATTCTCTTTCTCTCTCTTTGTCTCTGTTTTGTTTTTGGGGGTTGAGACATGATTGATATTCTTTTAAGTTTTTATCTTTAAAAGATTCTTTTATGTCATAGCATGATGGAAATTTCTTTTTAATCTTTCTTTTTTTAACTTTTTTTTTTAGAATTTCTCTTAAATAGAATCGAAATAGAGTAATATAATCCACTTCTATGAGAATACTTTAGTCCACGAACATTTCGATTTTTGCGACAGATCCTATCGAAGCTAGCTAAGAATATAGATCAGTGTATCGAGCAGAATAACTGATGATTTCGATGGAAATAAATGTTGTTTTAGTCGTGTCTAACGTACCGATGGATTAGCTTTAGCCCGAGTAAAATCGATGTTGGAATTAGAAGTAAGTGGATAAGAAATTCGTTTCGTTTAATTCGTTCGGTTGGTGTATATATATACATACATACATACATATATATATATATATTTATATATATATATATATATATATATGTATGTATGTATGTATAATTCGAATAAAAAAGAAAAGAAAAGAAAAAATAAATAAATAAAAGTATACGAT